AAAAAAAAAAAAAAAAACAGAGGGAGACAAAGAGAGAAGCTGCTGGACTTTGACATGGCGGAATCAAACCAGGATAAAATGTACATGTGCTCTTGTCTTGATTTATATAATCTCAGTAACTTTTGAACTTTAGAGTGGGATGCGCAGGGGGGTCAGCACATGAAGTAGTTGCTGCATTGGGACCAGGGCTCAGAGATGTAATCTCACAGAGTGGGATGCGCAGGTGGGTCGGCACATGAAGTAGTTGCTGCATTGGGACCAGGGCTCAGAGATGTAATCTCACAGAGTGGGATGTGCAGGTGGGTCGGCACATGAAGTAGTTGCTGCATTGGGACCAGGGCTCAGAGATGTAATCTCACAGAGTGGGATGTGCAGGTGGGTCGGCACATGAAGTAGTTACTGCATTGGGACCAGGGCTCAGAGATGTAATCTCACAGAGTGGGATGTGCAGGTGGGTCAGCACATGAAGTAGTTGCTGCATTGGGACCAGGGCTCAAAGATGTAATCTCACAGAGTGGGATGTGCAGGTGGGGCACATGTAGTAGTTGCTGCATCAGAACCAGGGCTCACACTGGTCAAGACCTATCTGTATCTCTGTGTGGTCATCCTAGAAACAGGTTTCCTGCCAGGAGCCTGGCCACTGTAGATTGGATCAACATTTCCTTGAAAGTCAGAGCACATCTGCCTGAGAGGTGAAGAACAGACAGTTTGCATGCAGTAAACCAGATCTGTAAAACAGATGTGCATTCAGAAGTTCTGGAACACAACAGTCTAGATATTGGCGGACAAAAAGATCTTTTCACTGGAGTTCACAGCTAGCAAATGTAGAAGAAGATGAGGCTTGAAAAATTTTACTTTTGTGTTACAGTCATCTATGAGCTCCAGTAATCTATGAGCTATGGAATCATCTGTGAGATACAGAGTAACCTAAAGACCACAGTCACCTATGAACTACACAGTCACTTATAGTCTACACACAGTCACCTATGAATTACAGAGTCACCTATGAGCTACAGTCGCCTAAAGGCTACAGTCAACTATGAACTATGGTCACCTATAAGCTACATAGTCAACCTATTTGCGGACACTTTTGCTTTAGACAACGACATTGAAATCAGTTCAGAGAAAATACACGAAATTCAAGAAAAGACACAATTTAGAAGTAAGAAAGAAATAACATCAGAGGCGCTAGAGGTGCCAATTACACTTAATGAACTGGAGTTGGCCATTTCAAAGCTGAAAATGCGGAAGTCACCAGGAGCAGATGGTATATCAAACGAAATGATCAGAAACTTAGGAAAAGTAACCAAAACAAAGCTTTTACAGATATTTAATGCTTGCTGGGCAACAGGGAATGTTCCACAGATCTGGAGAGAGGCAATTTTTTTACCCCTCATAAAGCCTGGGATAGACAGTTCTAATGTCTCCAACTACAGACCGATCAGCATCACAAGCTGTCTCTGTAAAACAATGGAGCGCATCACCAACCTCAGACTACAGTGGTACATTGAAAGTGAAAACATCATTACACCACAGCAGGTGGGCTTTAGAAAGTTCTACTCTATCGAAGACCAGACAACATACCTCTCCCAAGAAATAGAGGATATTTTTCAAGATAAGAAACTGGTACTCGCGGCATGGATAGATTTAAGGAAAGCTTTTGATAAGGTTTGGAAGGAGGGGCTTTTGGAGAAATTGAGAAACTATAAAATAAATGGAAAAATGTACAATTGGATTAAAGCATATCTACATAACAGAAGAGCAGGTACAGGTAGATGGTTTTAAAAGTAAAAAAAGTTCTACTGTGACAAGGCGTCCCTCAAAGTGGTGTCCTGTTGCCCACACTTTTTCCTTTTATTCATCAACGATCTGGTTTCTGAGATACCAAATGGAATCAAAATGGCAATGTATGCCGACGACCTGGTACTGTGGTGCACCAATAAACATGCAACAATAGCCACAAAAACACTACAGCGGGCTACAGATGCACCTATTCACCCTCTCCCCAAAGAAAAAAGCCGGCACCATCAAAATAAACGGAATACCCCTGAGAGATGATAAAGAGCCTACATACCTAGGAGTCACATTTGATGACAGGTTGACATGGAGAAAACATATCAACAAGGCAGCAACCAAAACCAGGAGGAAGACAGCAATACTAAGAAAACTAAGTGGAACTACATGGGGAGCCGATGGGAAAATACTAAATAAAGTATACAAGCAGAGCATACTTCCACACTTGGAATATGGGTCAACTGCATGGTGTTCAGCATCTAGTACCACATTAAAGGAGTTAGACAAAGTGCAAAATCAAGCGCTCAGAGTCATCACAGGAGGGATAAAATCCACCCCCATATTAGAAATGGAGAAAGCTGGGAAAACACAGGCACTGAGAGAACGCAGAGATACAAAGTTGCAAATACAAGCTGAAAAGTTTCTCAGTATGCCAGATCACCCGATGGAAAATAGATTTAAGAACCTAGCCTTGGGATGGTTAAAAAGAAGCAGCTTTATACACCAAGCAAAAAAGAATATGTAGACAAACTCCTGACCTTCCAGAAATTGGTTGCCCACTTAAAAGTATTCCGGAACAAACCCCATGGAGAGAAAAATGTAAACTAACGGTACAAATCCAGACAAATGTGAAAGGGATATTTGACAAGAAAGAGCAAGATAGTGTACAACGCAGAATGGCCACCCTCAGTTATATTGATAAAGAATACCTACAAGAACAATGGGTCAGAGTCTATACAGATGGGTCCGCAGAAAGTGCAGTTAAAAATGGTGGCGCTGGAGTGTACATCGAATTCCCAGATGGTACTAGGGATAAGTGCAGCGTACCAACCGGGAAGTACTGCCATAACTACGATGCAGAAACCCAGGCTATCAAGATAGCTACAGAGAAACTGCTAAATACCAACCTTGGCTCACAGTATGTGGTAATGCTGACAGGTGCTAAATCAGTACTTGAAGCACTCCAGTCGAGGAAACTACCAGAATTGCAAACACTGCTGACACAACTCAGCGTTCAGCGAAGAGTCGTAATGCAGTGGATACCGTCTCATTGTGGAGTGCCTGGAAATGAGAAAGCTGATCAACTGGCAGGGGAAGGTGCGACAAAAGAGCAGCCGGATGTACCAGTCACATACCACCAAAAGAAAAGAATCATTAAATCGATCAGGAAACCACCAGCCCCAGCTCAAGACGACAATTTTATTATGGACAGACCAGAACAAGTCATTATCCTCCGCCTCAGAACAGGGCACAACCGATTACGTAACCACATGTACACAAAATTCAAGATAGGTGTATCAGCCATGTGCACCTGTGGAAATGTGCCCCAGACAGCAGAGCATGTACTCCAGGACTGCACCAATTTTGACACATTAAGGCAAACCTTTTGGCCAGAAAGAACAACAGTCGAACGTAAACTCTATGGACCACTGAATAAACTAACAACGAAAGTGAAATTTATACAAGAGGCAAAACTGCTGAAATAGACAACTTATTTCAGGCGAACGAAAGAAGAAGAAGAAGATCTGTGAGATACAGAGTAACCTAAAGACCACAGTCACCTATGAACTACACAGTCACTTATAGTCTACACACAGTCACCTTTAAACTAGTCACCTATGAATTACAGAGTCACCTATGAGCTACAGTGGCCTAAAGGCTACAGTCAACTATGAACTATGGTCATCTATAAGCTACATAGTCACTTTTTAGCTGCAATCACCTATGAACTATAGTCACTTCTGTACAATCACCTATGAGGTAGTCACCTAAAGGCTAAATGAACTACAGTCACCTATAAGCTGCATTGTTGCTTTTTAGCTACAGTAACCTATGAACTACAGTTACTTTTGTACAGTCACCTAACGGCTATAATAACCTATGACTACAGTCATCTATGAGCTACACAGTCAATTATGAGCTACCCCTGAGCAGCAGAGTCACGGCATATAAGCTGCAGTCACCTATGAGCAATTTGTTGACACCTTCTTTAAGGATCAGACACATAAACTGTCTTACACTGGTTTTTACTACAGCTTGTTTTGAAATATGAATAACGTTTATTTAGTAACTTAATTTTAAAAAGGAAGAAATAATGTATTTAATGTTAGCAAATGACACATACACACAGAAGAGGGTGTGGTGTGTATTCTCCTAAATAGGGCCCCATAACCCACACTGGGATTCTTAGTGTTACTAATAGAAGAGTTTAAAAAAGCCCTGCATGAGTTTTTTAAATATTCCAGATCTCTGACGAGTAGAAAGCTCGCATAGTAGGCTTTGTTGCCTCTGCCCAGACAAACTGTTACTAAAAAAGCTATCGTGCAGAAGAAGAAGAAAAAGAATAAAATAAAAGAATCAAATTAGACCTAAACATATAATTTAAAAAGTAGATAGTAGTAATAATAGTTTATGAAGACTTTTAGAATAATAGACGGTTGAATACTGAAGACAATGAACATTTTGACACAGAGCAACTAATAAGCATCAGAGTAACATTTTAAATAAAGCAACTCGTCAACAAATAATAAAAACAGGCAAAAAGATGAAAACAGTTTCCTGACGACGGTAACACTGTAAAATCTGTCAGAATATAACATAATAAAGGGGCTGAAGTAGGTTAATATGTTTATTTTGTTTTGTTTTAACAATAATAAATTAAAAGGTGAGCAACATATCTTTTACAGGACTTGCAAACCAACACCAGCATTTATTATTGATGGTTGTGTAGTTTTACTAGTGATTTCTTTCAGGAACTTGTCATTGATCTTGAATGGTACTGTCCTGATACCACTGCCAAAATCAAAACAAAGTGCTATAAAACTGCCAGCAGCTGACTTTGATTGCTGGTATGTTGGAATAATGAAACTGCATTTACAGTCCCTCAGCTGCAGACGCTGAGGACATTAATAAAGCCTTACTTCATAAGTAACATGACTGAAGCTTCTTCAAATGATCAGATTGTACTAAATACCTGACTGTTTCAGAAACTGGCTGAGATGGCGGAAGTTCTGCAGGCCCGAGAAAACAAGCTGGTTCAGCTGAGTAAAGAAAACCACCAGCTGACAGAAGACAACAACATCTTACGCAAGTAAGTGGTCATCATGGTGCTGGTGGGCCATTGACTTCACCTTTGTTCACTTCAGTTTGTTTTGTTTGTTTGTTTGTGTGTGTGTGTGCTGTCGACACTTATTAAGTGTTCTTTTCAGGGAAAAAAAGAGAGAGAGAGAGAGAAATGCATAGTTATCTGATTTCACTTTCCTCCTAAAAAAAAAGCAGTTATCCGATGGTGCATTTTTTATTAGTTAGTGGGAAAGCCTGTACACCTAAAAAATATAAATGACCCAAATGCAAAAGAACTGTCAGTTGATTGGTTGAACCCTACAGTACTCTGAATGTTTTGACCAAAGTCTATCAACGGAATACTAAATACAGCACAAACTGTGACATAAACTCAACGGGCAAGACAACAGAGCTAATAAAAAAAAACCAAGGTCAACATGAAACAAGTATATGATGAGGTGAAAAGTATGAATATAAAGGCTATAATACGAAACAAAATAAATAAGAAGGCGTATGTGAAAAGAAGAGAAGAAATAGGAATAAGTAAAATAAATGAACAAGTAAATAAATTAAATTAAATTAAGCTGTGTTGATTATTGATTCATCCAGGACTAAGAAAGCCAAAACTATGGATGGAACAATTTTCTAGTGAGAAATACGCTGAACTGAGTTCTCATGCTATTTCACTGGTGTTAAGGATTTCTAGTGAACTGATATTTCTGTGTATTATGTGTCATCTATGTGTTCCAAGCTTATTTCTTAGTATTTGAACCTCCAATTAATAAAAATCCATTTATTCACTAGAGATTATGTGTCCATGTGAAAGAAAAACTGTCTAAATGTGAGGGCCACCTGTGTTTTGATCAAAAATGTAATGCTGTGATAGTTGTCAGAAATAAGAAATTACCTCTTTTATGATCCAGCTTGATGTTATGATTATTTACATATGCAGGCAGTGAAAAAAAGGAAACCAAAATAAAAAAGGCTAATTAAGATAACTATAATCAACAAATTGAAACAGTTCACATTAAATGAATTATTTGTTAGATTCATGCTCACATGTAACTCCTTTTTCTTGTTTACAACTCTGAATGAGTCAATACTAGATATCATATACGTTTGAATTTCATAATTAATTCTTTACAGTTTGAATCACCCTGCATTCATAATTCACATACTATCCTTGAAAAAAGTAAAATTGTTTTGGTGAGTTGACAGTTAATTGATGGAGTGTTCACTTTCATGGTGCTCTGCTTCTTCTTCTTCTTCTTCTTTTTTTGCATTCACCGGCTGTGAACGCCGGCAGAAAGTTCTGGTTGTTTGCCCACTTCTGGACTTTGGTCCTGTTCCAGAACCTAAGTGTTGCATGCACAGCTTTCTCATGTGTCTGACTCATTTGCATGCAGACTGTTGGTTCCTTGCCTCTCAGGCAGAGGTACTCTCACTTCCAAGGAAGCTCCTAGTTAGTCGACTCTCACGACATGCTTTTGGGCAGACAGTGGGTCTATTCTTGTTTCCCCCACAATGGGGTCCCAGAATCCACACGGGTGTCATGGTATTGAAGAAATTGAATATCTGTCAAGCTGAGTGTAGTGGTGAATTACATGATTGTGATTTTTTAAAAGGGATGGAGAGGGGCTGAACCAAGAGTGGTGCACCGGGAGCCAGGCTTGTATTGGTTAATACCTTTCCGCAGTTATCCTAAAAACAGGTTCCAAAACAAGGGGGTGACCAAGTTATGATTGACAGTTCCTTTGAAGTCGGAGTAAATCTGCCGGAGAGGAGAGGTGAGGAACCAAAAGTCTGCCCAAAAATAAACGCTGTCTGTAAAATGTAAAACTCAAGTCCTGGAACCAAACTAAAGTACAGAAGTGGATGAACAACCAGGATTTTTTGCCAGTGTTTCTAGCTAGTGAACACTGCTGTCTGTGGAAACCTTGCTATGTATGGAAATATCACGTGATGAAGCCCCAACTCCTTCACGATGCGACTCTCATCCCACTCTCTGAAAGCTACAAGATTGTTTTTTTTTTTTTCTTAACTACCCATAGTGAGATCAAGCCTTGGTAAATAATGAGGGTTGTATTGTGAAGTAATAGGATTTAACTAACCTCACAGCCACACAGTCACACTAAAGATGAAAATCATAAGAAGAAAGAAAAATATAACAGTCATATAAGGCCTGCCATTTAACATAGAAATTTTTTTAAAGTTTATTCTGACAGCCCTTACAAAATTCAGCACAAGCTCTTAATATAAATCATGAAATCAAATGTTAGGTTTAGGCTACTGGTCACAGAAAGATAAATGTCGCAGACTGACGCACTTTACATAATTGCACGCATTGCTGAATAACAAATCACAAAATAATACATCAGAGAATAACACTTGTCACAGAATAATAAAAATAAATTTGTCACAGAATAACATATGCCACAAAGTATCACATATTACAAATATAGTATGTGTCACAGAATAGCACATGATACAGAATTGAAAAACACTTGTCAAAGAATAGCATATGTGACAAACTAATACGTTTATTTATGTATACAGTCAGCTGCAGCAGTCAGAGGAAGCTAGAGAAGAAGAGAATGCAGATCTGACAGCCTTGACTGATGAATTCACAGCACGCATAGGAGAGGCAGAAAAAAAGATGCAAGCTGTTTTAAAAGTAAGCTTATTAGTAGTGCTCCACTTGTGTGTGTGTTTGCATGCATGTCTGTCGGGCAACATGTCACAGAATAACACTTGTCACATAATACTGTTTTATGAAATAATGTTTCACAGAACAACACATCACAGAAAAACACATGTCACTGAGTATCACATGTCACAAAATAGAACACTTCACAGAATTGCCAACAGTTGGCTGACCGATGACACTGAAAAATTATTAGTTTTTACTGTGTTTTGCTAATGCAAATTCTCAATTTCTGGACTGGAAGTTCAAAGGTTCCATTACCCCGCTGCAGAATTGAGTGCTTGGTGTGACACTAAGCTTTGGGTTTCCTGTAGAATGTTTTTTCGGTTGTGCCCATGGCAAGTTTTTGCTGCAGTAAAATATTGGGTGGCCAAAATTACATTAAGAATGGCATGCGCTTTTGCAGGTGCAGTGCTGGCTGTTGTGGTTGACCATTTGTGAGCTGTAATTCCTTTGTGGGATCATTAGTGTTGGCACATCTGACAGTAGTACATTATAAATTTGTACTTAGCTAGTGCATACTTTGAGATTTTGCTTGGACTGACAAGTTTTTCATTAGTTTTCAGTTGGTACAGTGAAGGACATTTTGTGTGATTTTCAATGTAACAGAAATGGAACAGTTTTGGGAAGTCCCGTCTGGAATTTCCACTAATGACTTGTACGTCTGCTGCTGGCTTTTTGCCTGCCTGGCTGTCTGTTAGCTTAACAGTCCATGGGATTGAGTGTATCTTCTATAGTTTTTAAATTTCTGTTTAACTGTAGCACTTCTTGGACCAGACACTGTGGTCTTGGAGCATATCTGCACAGGATAGACACAAATTATCTGCTGCCTATGATTGTCAATCAGAAAGACGGATACCTGAGTACATACTGCAGGACTGCCCTAACTCATCATCATGTAGCAAGCAGGTCCTTTGCAGAATGTCGCTCTCTTCATGATTTGCCTGAAAGAAACTCGGTCTCTCACCAGCTGTCCCACCTTATGTTCTTTCATACTCAAGGAGTCACTATATCCTGTGGCCATCTTCGTGTTGGTCGACCCCTGCCCCTCCTTCCCTGACTACTGGCAGCAAAAATTGTGTATCGGCCAAAGTAGCTTCATTACAAGAGACGCTTTTTGTGACTCAGATGAGACTAAATGTTTAGCATGACTGATGTTGAACGCAGAAGAAGAAGCTGACAAAGACGAAGAAGAAAAGGAAAAAAGACGATGAAGAGGAAGACGATGAAGATGAAGAAGATGAAGAAGGCACAGAAGAAGACGCATCTCCATACTTTACAAATTTCCAGGACATACTGCATTGGACCAGTCCCCGACAAGTCTAAGTAATGATACCAGTTCTGTCTGCTCCTGCAAATAATGGCAGGTGATGAATCACGGTGCTACCACTTTGAGCCACGCTGCAAAACAATAAGCATACAATGGAACCAGCCTCAATTACTAAAACACATCAAATTCATCTTCTGCTTCTTAGGGTTCACTGGCTGTAAAGTCCAGTGGGAAATTCTGGTTATTCGCCCACTTCTGGACTTCAGTCTTGTTCCAGAACTTGAGTTTTGCATGCATATCCCTTCTACAGATCTGGCTTAATTGTATGTAGACAGTTGATTCCTCACCTCTTAGGCGAATGTGTTCTGACTTCAAAGGAACCACCCCTTTTTTAAACCTTGTAACCACCCCCCTCCCCCCAAAAAAATTTTGCCCTGCAACCTACAGTTGCATTCCAACCATGAAGGAAACGTACGTCTATCTTATCTACATAAGTCAGTCTCCTGTCTTGGAACCTGTTTCTAGCATGTTGAATTAAGAATCCTCATCTTAACTCTCAGGACACTCCTATAAGCGCTCCATCCCCATCTTCAGCAGCAAGTGAAAGGTTCTAATTCCAGTGGCACTAGTAACGGTCTGATTGTATATTTGTCTCGCCTTTTCCTTGAGTGTTGAGCATCTGTCAGACCCCCTGGTAACTCCTCGCAATGCCATTCTTCTCAGACCATAATTATCTGTTTGTGCCTCTGCACTGTTCTCTCGCTCCCAAATGGCCTCAACAACATCTAGCTTTTCATTCATCAGTTCACCACCAAGTGGTGCAGAACCGGCCAGTCTATCTGCTATGTGCTAATTTCCCGACACTATGGCATGACCTGGAGAAAATTATAAAGGACACTAACTACTTGGGACCTAGGAAGCAATGCTTGTCACTCTGCACGGAGCATACCTGCCTTTACTTTTCTCAACATGCTCTCTAAGTCAGTTACAATTACGACATGTGTGTTCACCTGATTCTCAAGCCAGCAGAAGGAACCAGTGACTGCCTCCACCTCCATTCTCAAACTAGACGTTGTGGCTAAGCGACGTCCATTCGCTTTTGCTATGAACCCCTATGCACTTCATCTGTTTCTCAACACGGAGCCATCTGTCTCTCAACACAGAGCCATCTTATCTAGCCGAATAAAGTTTGTTCGTTCGTTTGTTTGTTCGTCCCTGTTTCTAGCATGACCACCGTGATATGCAGATATGTCTTGACCCTAGTTCTGGTGCATCTCTATCACATGAGGCTCAACACCTCTGCATACCACAGTAAATTCTAGACACTGGCTTATTTCAGTTCCATCTTCATCTTTGGTATAACTGCCTACCCAGGCCTATGGATGCATGTCTGAATCATATGTGATTCAACACTTCTGCTTCCCACAACAAATTCGTCACAGTCTTATTTCAATTATATCTTCATATTGAGTATAGCTGTCTACCCAACCATGTGGACGCATATCTGAATACATGTGATGACTTTGTTTCTGACAACTACAGGTGTATACTTGCTAAAAGCTGCTTTATTTAATTCTGCCACACCGGCTACTATACTTTCATACATTTCTAGTACAGCCATTTGACCACGACTTATATTTGTGTGTTGCATCAGTGATAGCTCTGTGTTCAGAGTATAATTTGTTTTAAAATGGCATTTAAAAAAAACACAAAAATACATATCTTATAAAGTGTTACTTTAAAATGCAATGTTTTTCCTTCAATGCAGGAGAAAGAATTATTAAAACAGAGATTAGCAGCTGCAGAAAAGGAATTGGAACGACGGTATGTTGTTGATTCTTTTAAAAAAGACGATAAGCTAAATTACATCTGCACAAATTTGAGTTTATTTTTTAAAAATATTTTTTACAAAAACGGGCATATTTTTTTATTTAGCTCTTCATACTAGTTCCTCACTGTAAAATATTTATGAATTTTACAATTTTAATTACATATTACAAAATGTTTAATCTGTTCAATAATCTAACTGTACATTATCACATTTTTGTAATTAAATCTATAATTCTAGCAACAGTTTGCCAAATATTTATTTAACTGATTTTTCTAGGTAAAAAAAAAAGAGTAAAGTAAAGTTCCCTTTTCACGCCTTTCGGCGCATCGGGCAGAGCGTCCCATATTTTTACAGACCATCAGCACTCTGTGGGTAATGTGGTCAGCATTACACGTTCCAGGTGAAGTAAAGGTGACCGGCGTGATGCTGACCACATTGCCCACTGACTACATTGCCCACCAAGTGCCAATTTGATTGGTCTTGTAAAATATTGGCCTAGCTCTATATGCGCAATAATCTGAAGGCCTTCACGACATGATAATAGCCAGTGGCAGCCAGCGTGCACGGGATCATAAATTTTTCCTCCCCACGACACTTAGCGGCAGAAGTGGTTTATGATGATGATGACACCATCTGAAGGCGTGGAAAGGAACCTTTTTTTTTATTATTTACTTTACTTATTGCAATAATTGTCTTTTAATGTTTTATTTAGAAATATGGTCACTTTTTAAAATTGTATTTGGAATTTAGAAAAATCTTAAACCCCCCCCCCCAACCAAAAGTGAACATGCTTACTATCACATTGGCGAACACACTTCTCCCTTTCATAGGGGTCTCCGTGGCGAAGTGGTTAAGCTGTTTGCCTCACGCTCTGAAGGTCGTGGTTTCGTTTCACAGCTGCGCTGTTCGGTTCACGAGTACAATTTAAACGAAGATCTCTGTGGATCATAACCAGAGCTACAGAGTTCGTACTTTGTGTGGCACTCTTGGCAGGTGGCTAGCCGTTTTGTGGAGAGAGACCGAGCTATATGGGATAAAAGCCGGTGCAATGAATTCGATCCTCTCAACTTTACCTCTAACACTTCTCTCTTGCTGCAGTAATTAGCACACATTTTCTGTGTTACAGTAATTAGTACACATGTTTTCTGGGAGAGACAAAGTGCACACATATTGGCACATGCAAAGTGCACACACATTGGAACAGACAAAAGTGCACATATTTTGGTACTGACAAGAGTGCACATATTTTGGTACTGACAAGAGTGCACACATATTGGCACAGACAAAAGTGCACACATATTAACACACGAAAGTTTGCACATATTGGCATAGGGATGAGTGCACTTATTTAATAACACACTCTGAGTACACCAAGTTTCTGGCACTATGATAAAGTGCATTGGTTTTCCGGCACAGTGATATGTACACTAATTTTCTGCCACAGTGGCAAGGGCACCAGTTTTCTTACACAGTGATATGTACACCAGTTTTCTGACACAGTGATATATACACTAATTTCCTGGCACAGTGGTAGGACACCAGTTTTCTGACACTACATCTGGCTTTTAGCACTACAGTAAGGACTCCTGTTTGGCACAAGAGTTAGTGTACTTGCTGACAGACTGACAGTGATGAGTATACCTCAATCTATACTTTTACACAATTTATTTTGACCTATTTGGCTATGTTAGCTGGATATATAATGTCGATTTGATTCTGTTTTATTGTTTTTGTTTTTTGCTAGGTCATTAGCTGGGTAAATAGTGTTAGGGATCTTATTCGGTTGTACTCCTTTTGTTTGTTGCTAGGTCGGGTGATTCTGACCTGCAAGCTTTGTTAGATGAGAAGAGAGAACAAGTGGAAGAGCTTTTGAAGGAAGGTGGGTGATATTTCCTGAAATTTTACTAATTCTTCTTTAGTTTTTGGAATCTGGGTCTAAATTGTTGAATCCTATTGTGCCACTCATCATCATCATCATCCAGTTGTGCCATTATATGACACATAGGGCTTGCAGTCAATCCCTCTATTCTGTTTAGTTTGATATCATGGATTGAATCCTGTCCAACACCTTTAGCTTGTCTCATCAGTGCTGGTTTTACGGGTTTTTTTTCCCCCTGACACCCTCACATCCTCAGCCTATTTGTTTCCCCTTTCAGTGCCTTTTTTGATTACTTTGTCCGCTTCTTCTTGTCATGGGCCCAGTATAGCACCCGTTGTTTTTATAACTGAAGATGCAAAACTTGCTGGTACATGTATTTGTGATTTGGCTAAGACAAGTTATTACAGACTGTGGCAGTAAATAACTATTATATTGCAGGAGAAAAGCTGAGCAAACAGCAGCTACAGAGCAACACTATCATAAAAAAACTGCGAGCCAAGGAAAAGGAGAGTGATACAACAATTTCAGCACAGAAGTAAGACATTTGTATGTTGTGTTTCATACAGTATGAGGTTTTTGGTGCCTTTATTGATTTTCTGAGTAGTATGTGTGTCAGTGCATCCAAGACAGTTTAGCTACATAAACTAAGTTATCAGGACAGTCAGCTGGTTTTCTTCTCACTTCTTCTAGCCATTGATGCAAAGGCTCTCAATCAATTCATGCCAAGTTGTCCTACCCTTTGCTGCATGCAGCTCCCCTCATGTTCTCCGTCTTTTTAACTTGATGCTTTAGCTTATCTTTCCTGGCTTTTTTTTTTCTGTTCTTTCTGTGCAATTTCAGTTCCATTGTAAAGAAATTGAGGTTACTTGGCTCTCAGGTTTTTGTCCTGTGTCATATCCAACACCAGAGCTTTTTCTTCACCTCCTAATTCACTGGAATGTGTTTAGTTTTCTTACAAAGCTCTTCATTAGTGATTCTATCAGACCACTGAATTCCAATTGATTCTGCACAGACACCAGATCAGGACATTCAGCTGATTAGTGGCAAATTATCTCCCCTGCCTACACTGTGAAAGTGTTAAATACAGGCAGTAACTCAAATATTGTTTTTATTAAACAAAAGGGTACAATTATGTTAAACTGCAAAGATGTGGTTTTATGCAGGAATGATGACATCACATGGATGGAGTTGAGTTGATTTAAGAACCAACATCACAGCACTTGGGGCATTCCCATAAGCGCTCCCTCCCCATCTTCAGCAGCAGCGTAGAGTTCCAGTACCAGTGGTGCCAGTAGCATTCTGATTGCCTTTTTGCTAAGCATAGAGTATCGGCCAGATCCCCTCGTCACTCCCTGCTGCATCACTCTCACCAGACTGGTGATCCATTTGCTCCTGTGTTCTCCCACAAGGCCCTAACCACATTTGCCTTATCATGCATCACTGTGCTACCAAGTTGGTTGGGGGTTCTAAATTGTTGATGTGAGAATTGTTACAGGTTATGTAGATAGTTGGAGAGGGGAAATAAAAAGGTAGAAGACATAACCTTTTGCTGAGAAAGCCATAAGTGTCTGAATCTGATCGTCCTTCACCTATGAAAATTTCCAAAAATGGTTTCTGAAGTGTTAGATCTATATGTGAACTACACAAATGATTCATCATCATCATCAGGTGCCTTGCCGACTAGCGTAAACGATCATGCCTCTCCACAATCTGCGATCTCTTACAGCATGTATCAGTTCGTGTGCCGACACACCTCCATGCCATGCAACAAGACTGTCAAGCATCTTCTCTCGTTGTCTTCCTCCATCCCTCCTTCCACAGATCTTTCCAGTGGTCACAACATGTTCTATTTTCCCTCTTCTCATAACATGGCAGAAAAATGAAGACTGTCTCCTTCTGATGTCTGTGATAAGTTGTCTTTGGGCTCCCACCTCTTTCAAGGAAATATTGTAAGATTAATGTTCATTTTGGGATTATGTGAAACTAGATAAAAGATAATTTTTTTTTTCTCCAGGAAAAAGCTTGATGAACAAGCCAAGGAATTAGAAAGGTTGATTTTAGTTTTGGACTCTAAGGAGGAGATGGAGAAGAAACAGGCTGGTAAGGAATGTATACTGACTAATTTCTTTGTACAGAAACAATTTTATTATGGCATTTTTGTAACAGAGGTAGAATAGAAGGTCAATTTACAAGAGCAGTTACAGTTACAATGTAGATGTGTACTTGGAAAAGCTTGTGTGAATGCACACTGAAGATAAAATACTTCTGTTCTTTTTCTGACTTTTGTCTTCCAGTGGAGCATAGGCTCTGAGCCAACTCATGCCAAGTCACCTTATCATTTTCTATCATATGCAACTCACCCCATTTCCTCCCCATCTTTTTAGGTTCCAGTGTAAAAACATACTAGTTATATTGTTCTCCAGCTTTTCTGAACGCATGTTCTGTCCAGCACCCAGCGTCTTTTTTCAGCTCTTGATTCACTGGAACATTTTTAGTTCTGTCCCAAAACTCTAACATTAGTAATTCTGTCTTTCCATTTAATTCCCTCTACTCTGCACAGTCATCAGTTAATGAATGTTTGTAGTTTATTAGTCATTGTTTTAGTTGTTCTCTATGTTTCTACACCATACAGCAGTATGGATTTGACAGTGTAACTATTTTAAGTTTAGCATTTGTTTTAAATTTTATTGACTTCCACAAATGTCTTGGGGTTATGAATAGGTACTTCTAATGGAAAACAGTAATTGTTTACTTATCTGTATGTTTATCAAGAACATAAAAATTATGTGTTATAGACTCACTTTCTTCTAACAAGTGAATGTTTGTGGATAAATTGTTAGCTTTATTCGCAATTGGGAGCCACCATGGTGTAGCAACTAGACACAAACCTGCGGATCCGAAGATCGTTTGTTCAAGTCCTGATTGAGCTGGGAGAAAAAAAGACCTTGGCTCCCAGATCGACCCACCCTTAAGTGGATACCAAATGGGAAGTAAATCAAGGCAGGTGTGTGTGATGTTGACAATATCACCCACTATAAAATATAGGTCTCACCCTATATGCCCAATACGCCTGAAGGTTTGTAAAAGGGTCCTTTACTTTTTTCACAATTTCCTTTTCCTTATTAATTTTCCTTGGTTCCAGCTAAAAATTGTCAGTTTCTCAAACCTTCTTAAACTAAGCAGTCCTCTTCAGGTCAGTACTGGATCCTTTTCAGGTTAGTACTGGATCCTCTTCAAGTCAGTACTGGATCCTCTTCAGGTCAGTGCTGGATCCTCTTCAGGTCAGTACTGGATCCTCTTCAAGTCAGTACTGGATCCTCTTCAGGTCAGTACTGGATCCTCTTCAGGTCAGTACTGGAGCAGTATAATTTCTTCTTTAGCTCAGCAGTCTCAGGGCATATCTGGCAGAGCTGACTCCAGCACATTGTAAAGTCCCGTTTATAAGGTCTATTGAGTAGGTGCTAGCCCCATTGTGTTATATGCCAACAGGCACTTATAGATGATGTGGTCAGCATCACTCTGGCCACCTTTATCTCCCTCCACATTTCAGTGTACTTGCTTTAGGCCAGGTCAGCTTGAGAGGGCATGTCAGTCTTAAAAAATTGTTTCAACTGGGGCCCGAGACTTTGACAACCAAGTAGCTTAGCTTTTCTAGACCCACAAGCATCATATAGGAGGAAGGGGGGGGGGGGGGGGGGGGGGGGCAGGCAAGTTCCATAACCACTTTGCTAAAAAGCTAATTTTCTGCGGTCTTACACATTGTAGATTCCTTACAACAGGGCTATTCAACTAAGTTTACTCGCAGGCCAAAATGTTGAAAATGGGGATCGTGGCGGGCCAGTGGCTCGAGTCCAGAGGTGGAAAGATTATTAACACAGTACAACTGAAAACATTTTCAATGCATAACTTTAAGAAAATGGAGACATTTGGAGAGTGGTCCATTACCATTAGACAAATTTTATTCATATCAAGCCCATTTTCTGTGAAAAATAAGAAGAAGAAGAAGAACTTAATCATGTCAGAAATCTCTCCAGTGAAATTTTCTGATACTATTAATTAAAGCTAGCAGTTCTCATAGAAACATTTTCCATTGAAAAAACGCACATATAAACATAACTGAGCCACATCTATGATGTCCGTAGATTTGTCAATGGCAGCTGACACAAATTCTGCCTGTTTTATGCTTTTAATTGAAAATTCAAAAACTTCAGCTCCCTAAAATTTTGATTACTGCATATCGTCAAAGTATCTGACATAGGGATTTGCTGAACTGCATGTGCCAAGCTTGTTTTTATTTTATCATCAACTGCTATTTCAGCCAGAATTGCTAGTATGCATTCTTTCACGGTTTCTGAGTCAGTGAAAGGCCACTTCTTTTTGGCTAATATCCGTGAAACGTGCAAAGAAGCTGCTATGCTGATAAATAGCAAATAACGACTCAAACTTTGATTTCCTAGCAGCAAAACCTTCTGGATGTGATTTCCAAAATCTGCATGTTTCATTGCAAAATGCCGCTTCACTTTGTACTCCTCTACTGCCAAAGCACGTTCTTTGCATAGCAAGCACATTGGTTTTAAATTAAGCACAGTTGATGATATAAATAAATATTTCTTTGTCAGTCATTGTTGAATGCACAATTTTCACATTCCTACTTTGCTGTCTTACTAGTACTATATATGGCATCAAGTATTCAACTAAATTGTTAAAATTTAGATGATTTAAAACACTCAATTGGTTTGTTAGTACATAATTGCGTCTGGCAATCTATGGCTGGTTGTGACTTGTATGTGGCAGGACGTCCACAAAAATTGGATTATAATCTGATAACAAGATCACTAGCGGGTGTTCCGCAGTGTCCAGTGTCACTAATGTTCTGTAGCACCCACTGTCATTAGTTTATGGGTACTAGTGGTCACCATTTAGGAAAGTTTCTTTGTAATCTATGCTCTAACTGTAAGGACCATGCTGCTATTTTCATACGCCCTCCTGTCCAGTAAATATCTCACCTCCATTGACTGTCCAGTGGAGCAGTTGCTTTCCTACCTGTTACTTGATTCTTTCCAGCCTATCTTATTACCTTTGGCGGCCAAAGAGACGAGGTCTGCTGTTTGAACTTTTACACTAAACTAAACTACATTTTCATGTACATTTTCATGCATAAAACATTCCTGCAGTTATAGTATTTTATGTTCCTATGCTGTTTCCTTTGTATCTCCACATTTACAGATTCATGAAAAACATTTCCTTCTGGCACATTCATCACAAATGGTTATGAAGATTTATTCCGAAACATTGATTGATTTAATTATTTTTAAAAATAAATAATTACATTTAACTGCTTTGGCAATGATTGGCAGGCCACTTGCTATGTCTCCTCGATTTGTCAGATTTGGCCCCAGACGACCAGTTGAATAGCCCTGCCTTAAACCATATTGACAAATGAGGAATCAACTGTCAGTATTATATGACTTATAATGGCAAAACCCAACTGGATAAAGTAAAATATAGTTAACCTTTTGGCGGTACTATGAAAGGTCATTTACACACACACACACACACACGAAAAAGAAGAAGAGTGGCTGACCAGAGGTCAGGATGCCAGACCCTCGTACAGGAATCCCATGTTTGATTCCTCAGTAAGGTGATGGGCATTTCTTTCAGCTGTGGACAGTTCATGGCAGCGGCACAAGCCATGCATTCTCAAATCCTCAGTATCAATATCCTGTCACACACTGCCCTAAAAAATGGTACTGTAGGCAGTAAAGACTGTTAGACATCTGGTTTTGTGTTTCTAGACTAGTAGTGCCTCTTAGCTTTAATGTTTTTTTTGTGTTAATTGCAACAGAGGCAATAAGTCAGCTCAACGCAGCGGTTCAGAGGCAAGAGAAGGAACTTATCAAGCATAAGGTATCTTACTTGCTAACACCTGTACTTTCATTTGATGCCATTTATGAAGGTAAAGTAAAAGTCCTGTTTCCGAACCTTGAGGCTTACTCAGTTTCAATTGAGTAACCTTTAGAAAGAAATAGGTAGACTCGGTATGAGTTGGTTGAGGGCCTGTACATTGAAGGGGGCGGGGAGGGCATCAGTAAAGTGCAGAAGAAAAAGAATCATTAGGTGATTTTCTATGTGGGTTCAGGGGTTCTGTTTGGGTGGGGGGGGGGGGGTGGAGTAGACCCCTGATCCCCCCTCCCCCATTATTCCCTAACAAGTATGTTATAAAAGGCAACTAAATAGGAGTTTGCTGAAATTATATGTGAAGGCTGAAAGGTGCAGATATTGCAGCCTAGCCGTAAACCACAACACAGTCAACTGATTGACTTTCTACCCCACCAGGACATCACACAAGCGATAAACACCCGATGACACATTGTGCCACCATGTGGGTGAGGATCCCCGCGGAGAGGTCCCAGAAACCGGGTTCAGCCTTTAGGCCATATTTATGGCCAGGCTATATTGCGGCCCCTGGCAAAGCCAGAGTAGGGCTTCAAATAAAAAAAAAATTCTTCCTAAAAAGGACGGGAAGTAACAGTATGAGTTACCACAATACAGTGTGCCAATTGCCCTTTTCAGAGTGAACTCAGAAGAAGAAAAAATATGATCGGTCAGTATCATGCCAGCTGCCTTTATTGTCTAGAACATTTCCTGGCACCCATTGTCAGTTGTGTTAACTAAAGAACTTGGATTGATTTTCTAAATTTGTCTGTGTGCTGATTTAAGCCTGTTTATAAAGAACATTATAGTGGTCAAGTGTAGGATAATCACTTGTAAGTTTATTATATCAATCCTTTACACTGTTTCATTCATCTTGTGTGGAATAAATGTTACTGGTCATAGGTCTGCTATGAGTTATTATTTTACCACATGTCAATTATTTTTAATCTCATTTTTTAAGTGCAGGATACCCATTAGTTGGTCTCATCAGGGGTTCAGAGGCTCCTTGTTTTGGAAAAAAGAATGGTCTGCTGCCCCCAGCAAGCATGTCATAAAAGGCGATTAATTAGAAGTTTGCTGAAATCCAGTGGGCATAAAGGCCCAGATATCACAGTCTAGCTGTAAACCAAAACACTGTGTGCTGGCCACCATTTTGTGGAAGAAGACGAAGAAGATCTCAATTAATGATTTCCTCTGATTAAATGTCTGCATCCACGACTATTTATTACTTTGTGATTTTCCATCGCAAGTGAGGAGGACCAGTCCTTTCATCCATTAGTAGTAGAGTGGCTTATGGGTGTCTCAATGGCTCATGAGTATAATATTGACATGGAATAGTCTGGGCAGTGTGAGCATGGAATTTGGGCAGTATCAGTTAGGGTAATTCAGCATTTTTAAATTTGTTTATTTGGTAAGTCTCTACCTTATCTATTAACAAGTTTTCATATATCAATTTTTTAATCGGTAGCTTTTATTAAAAGCATACTTATCAATGAAGTTATTAAATTTAGAGCAGTGCATAACTACAGAAGAGGAATTGAGAAGAAGAATAAACAGAATTGCTATAAAGTTTCTCCATAAACTAGCATTATACTATACAATTTGCGACACTAAAGCTGTGCGATGAGTTGTTTCAAAATCATATTTTTTTGTTACGTCTAGAGGCTGACACATCAACTACACAGTACCAGAGCTTTTCTTCTAGTAAAAGGGTGCCGGTACTCACCATAAAGTGTTTGTTACAGTAGTGTTGAAAATCTGATACAATCAACGGATATCATATACTGGAAAGGCCAGGAAAAAATCCCTGTTATGTACTTTGTAAACGTTTTTTTTTTTTGTATTTTGTATTTCATAGAGTGATCTCGAAGATGCTCAGGAGAAGGTCAGAGCTTTGCAGACTGCCCTGGACAATTCCTACAAGTGAGTTGTTTTCTCAAAGTTTTACATTGTTCATTGCAAGTTGGGATCAGATTTAAATCTGTTCCAAAGGTTTCATTACACATAAAAGATGCATTTCATAAACTCTGACAGAAAGTTATGGTTGTTCGTCCATTTTTGAGTTTTCTTCCAGAAGAGATTTGCATGCACATTGACATATCTAGCTTATTTGTTTGCAGACTGTTGGTTCTTGGTCTGTCAGGCAGATGCACTCTGACTTTATATTAAACAACCCTAATTAGTCACCTTGTGCGATATGCTTGTTAGGGGGGCAGTGGGTTTGTCCCCCCAATCCCCCACCCCCACCCCCCACTTCCCAGAAAAAGGCCCTGGAACCCACACAGGGAGTTCTGGTTGTTGTTGTTGTTACTCCTGCTATCCTAGACGTCTATATACATGTCTATCAAAAACTAAAAATAGTTGCATGTTACATGGTGTCCACATTACTGCATACCTTGAATCCTGGATACAGATTTCTTTTTCTGCCTCTTATTTCCCAATGGAGTATAGCCCCCTCCACAAACCAACACATGCCAAGCCCTCTTTTTTCTTGACTTGTTCATAAGTTAGCATTTTGTAGTTTCTTCTTTCTTTAGCTATCAGTATTTGAAAGTGTGCTTTAACTCTTCACCTGTGCTCCATAGTTTGTCTTGCGGGGTTGTTCTTGTGAGCCAGATTTCTTCTCACCGACTGATATACTGTTCGTTCGGTTTATATCTTTTCTTGATATTCTCACAGACTGGCAAAGTCTAAATAGTCTTGAAAAACATTATCTGGTGTTTGCTTTAATGTGCCATAATCACATGTAGCAGAGTCAGCGAGACTTATTTGGTGTTGGTATTCTAGAATTTTCAGTGTCTTGTTCTGAGTGCAAATTCTAGTCTGCCCATCTTTGCCAGGCTTATACTTTAATGCTGTGGTCTGTAATATTTTGTTGTCTTTTTTCCAGATTATATTTATAAATTTCTGGAGAATGAATTTGCCAATCTCATGTGTCAGCCATCTTTTGTTGTCTCTTATAGTATGTTTGGTGAGTTCAAGAAGTAAAATAAACAACAGTCTAGACTCAGTCATCCTTTTAATTGTATTTTTCAAATGTATGTGTGTGGAATTGGTGTTTTAATTGTTTTTTAATCCTGTTAACCAGTTCTGGGAGTCGCAGTGGCTGAGCGGCTAGTCACTCGCCATGGATCGGAAGGTCGTGAGTTCGCTCCCTGGCGGAACTGGATTTTTTTCAAAAATGACCTTGGCTCCCAGATTGACCCAGCTTTGAGTGAGTACCAGATGCAGTCCTGGGAAAGTAAAGGCAGCCGGCGTGATGCTGACCACATCACACATTTTGTGGCGACTGGTCTATCAAAAATATAAGCTTGGAAAAGGGTCCTTTACTTTACTTTTCTTTAACCAGTTCTGTTATTGTACAGTGTATTTTATTTTTTTAAATAGGGAGATAGCAGAGCTGCATCGCTCAAATGCCTCACAGGACAGCAAAGCTCAAGAGGCAGCTCTAAGTGCAGAAATGCAAGTGAGAGAAGAGTTGAAGGCCGCCATGGAAAGAGAACAACAGCGCTTCAGACAGGAACGAGAAACGTTTATTATGCAGGTTGTTTGACATATTTTTTAATACTTTAATAAAAACAATTATATGTCTGGTAAACAAGATGAATGAATATTATAAGTGTGTGGTAAAATGGAGAAATTGAATGTGAAAAATTGTGGTGGGATGAGAACAAAAAGTTGCACAAATTTGTACAGTAGACAGACTTCCTGTTGCAAATTTGTATTACTTCATTTAACTGCACTTTGGAATGTTATGCAGGTTAATATAAACAGTTAGGTCATAGACATTTTATTTATTTAAATAGATTATTAGACAGTGACATTAAATTATAGACAACATGAAATGCCCTAATGTACAATATGAAGAATTAACTGATAATGAATGATAAGCTTGCATAGCTCTTTTAATTTTTATTTTAATGATGTTATTTACATATTATTGACAATTAGGTTGATGATTTGAGACTTGAAATGGCAAAACTGGAGAAGGAACACAGCCGCCGTGAGGATCTTTTGAGACAAGAGATCACTCATCTACAGGAGGTAAGTTTACATTTAAATACAGCACACTGTTCTTGTATGCTAACTAATTTTAGTATGTCTGTTGTTGTATGCTAACTAATTTTAGCTTGTCTGTTGTTGTATGCTAACTAATTTTAGTATGTAAGTATACTAGAGGTCAGAGGAAGTGTGAACTCTTACAGTTTGTGAAACAGGTGTTGCTTGAAATTCACAAGTAGCTGTAAATGATATTGGTATTGCAAGGGAAGAGTGAGATCCAGATGAAACTGACAGCTGGGGGAAAATTTGGTTGTCTTTCTTGTGGTGCTTCTGTTGTTGTTGGTCTCTTTGCTTTCCTGTAGGAACACAGCAGTCATCTTCATCTGAAGACAAAACCTGTATGTGTGATTGAAGAATAATCATACATTAGAAAATTTGAAGGCATGCATTATCCTGCTCACTGCATACAAGAACAGTGTAAACTGAAAGAAATACTCCACCTACACAGGACGGCAGGCTGCTTTATTACTGTAGGGTGTCCTAATATAAGTGTTTTATACAGTTAACCAGGATTTACTCCCATTGGTTTCACATCCAAACTGGCTTTAGAGTCATTGGATGTCACTCTGTCAGCGCGTAGTATTGGAGAGGAAAAGTAATTTTTAAAAAGTATACACAATTCACCCAAAAACTAAAAACAAAACATTACTTTTTATAATCAGCATTGCGAGAAGATAATGCACATTTTAGCACATCTTGAAGAAAAGTAGACTATATTGTGACAGCAAGAATGATGGAGGAGAAAAGAGGTGGGGGAAGATCAAGTGAGAGTGTTTTGACAGTTTAACATAACAGAAGGAAGAATGTATCAGAAATTGTTGGCAGTACATGAGACACAAGTCAGAGGATATGTTATTATTTCATTACCAGTGCTACACAACATGTGTAGATATGTGCTGCACATATGAAAAATGAAGAAGAAACTCAGCATAGAGATACTCGAAACATGTTTTATTAGTCCTTATTTTTACAACCCCCCCCCCCCCCCCCCTTTTTTTTTTGTGTGTGAATCATTGGCTGTCTGTGTCTTCTGTGGCTCAGAGGTTCCTCCTCCAGATTTACATACTTTAGAATTAACATCTCAAAGATGGGAATCAAACGGCTAAAAATCCCTGAAACCCAGTTCAACCTTTAGCCATTGAGCAAGGTTAAATTGGGGCACCACAAATTGGTTACCAGGTAACCTGTAGTCCATATGGGTGGGTTGTATTTGCTTAGAGTGCTGAATGAAATTTCAGCTGCACACGATTTGTCATCATACTGTTTTCTGTTGATTTTCACAATGGAATGAGCATTGTCCATTCAGTGGCAGGGTCAGACTACTGAAAGTAAAATTTATTTTTTTAAAAACCACAAACAGAAAACAAATGCTTGGGTTAGTTTGTGATGTCCTTGAAAAGGATTTGCAACTAACTTTTTTATGTTACAAACAGCTGATTTCACAATGTGACCAAACTGGCTTTTCTAATCAGGTATGGTTTCTACATTCATTCCTGTTACTAAAAGTATTTTTTTGTAATTAATTAACAGCGACAACAGCAAGATGAAGCAAGAAGTCAAGACTTAACTCACAGTGTATCATCAGCTACACGGCCATTGTTGCGGCAGATAGAAAACCTGCAAGCTACGCTTGGAGCACAGTCGTCTGCATGGGAGAGAGTTGAGAAAAACTTAACAGATAGATTAGGTTAGTTTCTAGATTTTTCTGTGCATTTTCTTTTTGTCTTAGTATTTTTTTTTGCATATTATTATATTGAAGATTTAGTAAATTAAAAATGAAAGTTTAACTGATGGAACAATTTTTGTTTTCTGTTTTGACCATAAATTTCTGACTTTATTGTTTAAAAATGAAGTGGATTTAGCTGCAGTATCTACAGGGTTATAAAATCTCATCTTAAAAATAAAAAAAGAAACTCACTATCCCTTAACAAGCATGTCATAGAAGGCAACAAATTAAAGAGTTTGGTTAAATGAGATGTTTTGGGCTGAAAGGTGGCGAAATTGCAGCTTGGCTGTATGATGCAGCTTCTTAACCGCTCTTTGAACAACAGTGGAAAGTAGAACTGGTTAGCTTTACAGGAAAGCAATCACGAATGACAGAATGAACTTCTACAGCTAGAAGCCTTCATTAGCTGTAAGCGTGTCCAGCTTATGTATAACAGGGAAAATTAATTTGGCCTATACCATCAGATATCAAGGACAAAGTCTGGAGAAATCATAATCAACACAAAATTACAAAAGATATCTTAGTTTTCCTTCATGAAGTCTGTACTTTATATTTTGCTTTTATTAAGTTAATGATCTGTGGGATGCCATAGTGCCTCATCAGTTTCCAAAGAGATTCCCGTATAAATAATTATGTTGGAGGCTATTTCTTTGTTCCCGTATAATTTATAAAGTTGCAAGCAATTCATTGCCTTACTGTATTATGTGTAGTTTGGCTGCTTTGAGCACTACAAGTTGTTTCCCTTAAAGAAACGTAGAGATTCGAATGGGTAACAGCTTCAGGCTACATTGATCGCACAACTTGGTTTTACAGTAACTAGCACCAAAAGTTATGATCGCAGTTTGCAGTTAAAATAACCAAGCTTAACCATTGACAATCACATAACCTGTAGCCATGGGTTACAGTCAGTGGGTTAAGACCTGCCTTTTTCATCTCAGTTAGCAAAGATGTATTACATAGAATATTCTCCTTTTTCTAAAAGGCTGCCCTTTCTTGAGCCACTCTGCACAGCTTCTTTAGTATATATTACATCTGCTATTATTGAGGTACCTAAGTATTTAAACTGCTTGCTTCAGTCTCATAGGCTAAATTCCAAAGGGCTTTCCACAAGACTTATCCTGTCTATGAATGAGCAACAGGTATAGATTAGAATGCATTTAAAGCTCCTCATATTTGCACCAAAAATAATTATCAGTCATCCCCATATGGGATGCAATTTTTCATATTCAAAGCCCCACCCGGCTTTTGCCTGGGGCCCTGAGTATAGCCGGGCCATAGATATGGCTATAACGGCTGAAAGGGGTTTCAGGGACCTGTCCACGGGTGATCCTCATCCGCATGGTAGCACTTTGTGTCATCCTGTGTTTGTCGCTTGTGTGATCTGCTGGTGGGGTATAACAAGCAAGCGCCAAAAATGTAAACCATGTATTCAGTTCTTCAGTGGGCTCTTATGCTATGATACAAATTGGAACATACCTTATTAAAGTGCTGGTAACTACTTTCTAGGGTTTTTCTTTTAATTATTTTAACATTTTTTGCTGTTTTTTCTTCTCACCTGCAGCTGAAGCTCAGACCGCTTTGGCTATGGCTCAAGAAAAGGAAAGAACTGCCAATGACCACCTCATGGAACTGTCGGCCAGAGTGGCTTCACTGGAAGCTGCCAACTCAAGAATTAAGCAGGAGAAAGCTCAACTGGCAGCACAAGTGGAAAGTGATAGATCAAGATTAGAGGAACTACAGGATATTAGAAACAGGCATGGATAACAGAGTATTTTTGTTAGGTTGTGAGGGGGGGGGGGGGGGGGGGGGGGGGGGGGGGGGGGGGGGGGGGGTTGTTTAAGTTTTGTTAATCCAATAGTTGTTTGCTTCATTCACAAAGACTCCATACGTTTGAGGTTTGATTGTTGCCTAAAATTGTCTTTTTGTGCAAATTCTGTGGTAGCATATTTAGAACACGTGACAAACATTAAGAACATACATCTGTCATTTATTTAAATCTTGTACTTTCCTTGCTCTTTTTTTGTTTATTCATTTTGTTGCTGCCGACTTGAACACTGGATACATTACACTACCTCCTTTCGTATTGTGTATTATTTTTCAAGTTTGCTTCTATTCCGTGGACTGTAAAGATGGATTTATGGTGCACCTAAACGTAATGTAGTTTTGTTGTTGTTGTTGCTTGTTGTCACTAAGTAATCAAGTTCATTTCTGTTAATAAGCCCAAAATATCTTGACTGTCTACATTTGATTTCTCTTATCAGTCAATGGATTTTTGTGTGTTTCTAAAAGGACTACTTACTCTTTATTTATGCCCACCTATAGTATTCTTTCATTTTCCTCATACACCACTTGTCTGCTGCCTTTAAGTGTCACTTAGCTAGTCTGTTTATTGTCCATGTTTCACATGCAAACAACAAGAAAAATTCTCAATTACTTTAACACTGTTTTTCACAGTGCATACATATATGCCTAGGTGATATTATATACACACACGCGCGCACATCAGGCACACCCCACACACACACACATACACCATGGATATTAAGTAGGCTGATAGATTTGCTGCTGCCGCACTGGGCAGTGAGCTGCTTTATGATCAAGTGGAATTGTGGAAGGCTCTCTTGGCATCAAACTGACAGTGCATTACCTTGAAAGACTGATTCATCCTGGGGTAATCAGATTATCTGGGCACTTTTCAACTCACAGTCGAAAGAAACAGGATCAGAATTGATAAAATCAGGAAAAAAGAAGTTGGGCTGGCACCAGTACTAAACTACATCAAGAGACAACAGATCAGATGGTTCTGACAGGGTCAAGATTACCACCAGATAGTGCACTACAGAGAGCCCTGTCATTCACACATAATTGAAGCAGAATTAGAGGTTGACCAAACAGGCGGTGGATAGATGAAATAGAGGGTGTAAATACCAGCATCTTATATCAGATACCAAGGCTCACACCCAGTGCCTCTTCTGAACCTGGTGCTGAAAGGCAGAACACGACTAAAGAGGAACAAGAGAAGGAAAGGACAAATGGACTTTTAATCAGGTTTGTGACAGGCACCTTCAGTATGTGTGGATATGTTGGTGGCTAAACGCCCGCCTGCGGATCGGAAGGTCATGGGTTCACATCCTGGCGGAGCCGGACTTTATTTCTTTAAAAAAAAAATATTGACTGTCAGGTTGGCCCAGCCTTGAAGGGGTACCAGGTGCAGCCCTGGGAAGTAAGGTAGCCAGCATGATGCGGACCACATTACCCACCAAGTGCTGATTGGTCTATACAAATATAGGTTTAGCCCTATATTCCCAAAACGCCTAAAGGCGTGGAAAAAAAAACTGTACTTTACCATCAGTATGTGAACTCTCTGTTGGCTACTGATAAAGGAGACAGAGTAATCATGGGAATGCTCCTAGTGCAGTTATTACAATTTTTGATTCTTTCATTGATTCCTCAATGTAATTGGTATTTTTATATTGGTAAGTAGAGTTTCCATTTTATAAATGGATTTTTCTGCCATGGTGATTCTTTTTTTAATACTTAACAAGGCATCTTCCATCAAAGGTTATGAACATTCCTAGATAGTTGTACACGATTCACTTGTTTGGAAATTGTTCTTATTCTCTTAACTAATGCATTATTATTATTTTTTTCTAATCTCAACAAACAGCAGGTGATAGTTTTTGTACATTGCTTTGTTAAGTACGAACTTACTGTGAACTCACCCGCATGACAAGAGTTCCTTTCCCTCCCATTCGACCTGTACTGTGTAGCCTGTGTTGTTCTGTGAGCATTCACTCACCATATATAATGTTTGTGGGATTTTTGTGTTGTCATGAGTCTCTGTGAGGTGTCTGTGTACTGTAGGGTAAAGCGATGAAGGTGCGACTGTTCTTGAGTATCAAAACAGGGATGTTTTTATATTTTTACGTTCCTTGATGGTGGCTTCCCTCTAGAAAAGGAAGCCACTGACAAGGAATATAGGAATACGATAACATGCCAGTTTCGATACGAACGAACCGCCGGGCAAGTAGTACAACGTAGAAATAATCACGCAAGTAACCTATGACAACACAAGAACAGAGAATTGTTAAACCATTGAAAATAAGGAAAAGATGACACCCCCACAACACATGACAGGCCATGGAACCGACCATTGCATGAATGTGAGGGGAAGAAACTCTCGTCATGCGGGTTAATTCATGATAAGTACCGTTACTTAATATAGGTTAACTCTTCCAGTCATAGGCAGTTGTTCCTACCTTGCTTCGAATTTCAAAGTTGGTGTATACTTGAGTACAGATCTTTGAGTCTCCATGAGCTCAGACAGAATGATTATGGGACAGAACTAAAATAACAGCTGGGGAATATGGGTTTATCTTCTTGTTCTGCAGTCACCCTTAGAAAGTCGGTTGGCATGCAGTGTGGTTTACAGTTAGGCTGTGATATCTGCATCTTTCCACCCAGTAGTACAGTTTCAACAAACTCCTTATTTTATTGCATTTTATTACATGTTTATCGGCTTGTTCTTGTCTCCCCCCTTCCCCCCACCTCACAGTGGTGCCCAGAATCCATTCAGGGTTAATGGGTTAATGAAAAAGAAGAATGCGACTAAATAAATGGTGTCCCCATGTGGATTCCGGGGGCCCTTTTGTAGGAAAAACAATAATAGACCCACTGCCTACACAAAAGCATGTCGTAAGAGTCGACTAATTGGGTGCTTCCTTCAAAGTTGGAGTGCACCTGTCTAAGAGGCAAGGAACTAACAGCTGTATGCAAATGAGGGATATCTGTAAAATGGATGCACACCCAACACCCAGGCTCTGGAAAAAGGCAAAGATCAGAAGTGGACAAACAACCAGAACTTTCCATTGGAGTTTACAGCTGGTGAATGCAAAGAAGAAGAATAAATTTAAAAACGTGTACAATATATAGAGTAATCTATGAACATTTAGCAACTTATCTGGTACTAGAGAAGTTAAATAACCCAAAGAAAACTGTTTTCTTGTGACTGAATTATGAAAGTTCGATATATTCAATTTTTAAATATTGAATGATTGTTTTGACCAGTGCTGTTGCTCAGATGGAGACCACCAGACAGAAACTGAACCAGGAATTGACACAGCTGAAAATGGATAAGGTAAGCACTTTGTTTATGTTAAATATAATTTTCCATAATGCTTCATACCAAATCAGCTCTTTGTTCCTGATGTGCAGAATTTAGATATCGGGGTGATGGTGCTGTGTTTCTTTTAGAAATTACCCTTTGGATGTCAGCTTTAGGAGAAAAACAATTGCCCTCTGAATGTCCGCTTTAGAGGAAAAACACTAATTTTTGGACTTCAGACAAAACATTGCAATCATGGATTTCACCTACACAAACAAGACATGAAAGAATCTGCCACCTGTGACTGCTGAGCAGACAGGCAGACAGACTCTTGAGCATGTACTGCAGAATTGTCCTAACTATTTCTGGCAGAAGGTGGCGATCTGGCCCAAGGGAGCTACATTGAAAGGCAAGCTGTGGGCGACTGACGACGAATACCTTAGATGCTTTATCCTGTTTTAGCTTTACTGATTTTAATCGCAGAAGAAAAAAAGTTTTTTTGTACTATGTTTTGTGTCCTTTTCAAAAACAATAATAGAAAGATCAGATTTAAGAACTAGTGGTATCTTTTATACACAACAGGAAAATAATCAATAAAAACATAGAAGGCGAGAGTTAGAGATAGTTGGAACATGAAGTTCTCAGGAAATATTCTTGAAATAAAGGCAGCCTGTTGATATTAACCACATCATCTATCAAATGCTAGTTGGTCTATAAAACATATAAGGGTAGCATAGTATTTTTTTAAAGGAAAAGAAATGAAGAATTATCGATCAGGATTAAGAATTACTGATATCTTTACGCAGATAAATGAACAAGGCATAACAAATAAGTTAAGTTGAAAGCAAGAGTTATTCGTTAAAAAACTTGGAATATGAGCTAGGTTCTTTTGTGAGAGGATTATATCAAATGTTGTTTCTTCTTTTTCTTATAATCACTGTCACAGGGTATTGGTAGTACGCTTATACACAACCTTAAGTTCCAGGTACTCTCAGTCATTTCTTACACTGATGATCTTCCATGCTATGATGTTAAACTGTCAAGCCTCATGTCCTCTCTCAGTCTCCCTCTACCTCTTTTCCCCTCCAACTTTCTCACCATTACGACGTACTCCAGTTTTCTCCTTCTCATAACTTAACCAAAGAATGTAGATTGTTTCCCTCTGATGTATGCAGTCAGTTCTGTTCGGGTCAGTTTTTTTCAAAGTGTCTTCATTACATTAGAAGAACAACTGCGACAAGCGGTTGGTAGATTGTTTTACAGTTTTTTGTATAGAGCACACTAACCATTTACAAGGCAGTGAAGGATATTGAAAAAAAAGGGGGGTTGGGGGGGGGGGGGGGCGGCTTGGACATCACATTTGATCCAGTCTAAAAATTGGATACCCAGGATAATGTCATCATTCATCTGAAAACCACATCTCTGCCGCCTCCAAAAAATTTTCCACTTATCCCTGTTGTCCGTGATTCACTTTCATATATCAGGATAAGATTTATATAGCTCTTGAGAATTCTTTTTCTCACCTCAACTGACAAAGAAAGATTGCATGGAATATTCATTTTTAATTAGTTAGTTAGTTAGTTAGTTAGTTGGGTTATCATCATTGCACTCCGGACATATTCATTTTTAATGTTTCTGATCTTTAATTGTTTTGCAGGTCCATCTTGAATCCCAGCTGAATGTTGAACGTTCAAGGTTGGAGAATGAAAGAAAGAAGACTCTTACATTAGAAGAACAACTGCGACAAGCGGTTGGTAGATTGTTTTACAGTTTTTTGTATAGAGCACACTAACCATTTACAAGGCAGTGAAGGATATTGAAAAAAAAAAGGGGGGTGGGGGGGGGGGGGGGGCGGCTTGGACATCACATTTGATCCAGTCTAAAAATTGGATACCCAGAAATGTCATGGGACATGAAATATCAAGGTGACTAGTATGATATTGATCTCATCACTAATAGAGCACCTGTTGATTGGTACAGTTATGAGGCCAACACCAAATCCCCCTTCTTCGTCTATTTACAGTCCAAGACATGTAGCATTGGTAGTCATGTCTACCCACAACCTTCTGTCTCATATACTTTTAGTCGATTCTGACACAGATGATTTTTCATGCCATGATGTCTAACTGTCCATATTTTCTCACGGTCTTCCTCTGCCTCTCCTCCACTCCAACTTTCCTACTGTCATGATGTACTCCAGTTTTCTCCTTCTCATCACACGACCAAAGAATGTAGATTGTCTCTTTCTGATGTGGACAGTCAGTTCTCTTGATGAGTCAGTTTCTTTTAAAACATCCTCATTACTCTTCTGTCCAGGGTTTTCTCATCATTCGTCTATAAAACCACATCTCCACTGACACCTAAATTGTGAAAAAGGTATCCTCTAATTTTCTACCTCAGCATGCTGGGAATAATACATTTGCCCTGATCCTAAGCCCTCCTTTCCCACATTGCATTTGATTCACAAATATTCTTTTCTTTTCTTATACCTTATTCTGCTCTAAAATTTCTCTACTCCCTGTTCTGCCATTCAGCATCAGGTTTTGAAGTGTTCTCTGGTACTACTAGCCTTGGGGCATGTTACACAGAGGCTGGTATTCATAGCTTCTGATGTTCTGTCTGTCCCTCCTGTACGGCCATATTATGTGCATAGATTATTCCATTGAAATGTCGTCCCAGGTCCATGCCATACCAAGTCCAAGTAACTTATTACTCTAGGGGTAACAAATGCCAAACCCAACGACAGGCAGAAAAACACCACCAACAAGGTCAGCTGTTAAAACTTCTAAATTTGAGAACACGTCGTTGACAGGCAATATCAATACGTTTATTCAACAATTCTCCACAGATATAATGTGTGTGTCCATGAAATGAATATGTTACAATCACTGTACTCAACGACGGTAGGATAATTACTTTCCTCCAACATGGAGCTCAGAGACTTTGCTCTCCCGCGAACTGCGGCATCAGGACGACGGTAGGATAATTCCTTTTCTCCAACATGGAGCTCAGAGACTTTGCTCTCCTGCGAACTGCAGCATAAGGACATATTGCATGCCTCTGCCCTTCCTACCTTTTCTTGTAACTGTCTTCTGTCCAAAACTTCTGTCGGCAAGTGACGTCGTGTCTCTCATCATATCTCATGTTCATTAGCAGTCGTCAATAGTGTGAATTTTTCGGATTGCACACAACACCTCCCTTGTTTCTTATTGCTTCTTGATAAACAGGAAATATTCATTTTGAAAGTAGAAGACTGTCTTATTATTTGCTGAATATTTTTTGTTATTCTAGGAGCAATCACGGAGTAGAGGGACACCATCTCCGTCACCATCTATGTCTGTGAGTCGACAAGAAAGCATGGCCGGAAGTATGTATGAACACCAGTCTCCTGGCCTTATGAACTGGTCTTTCCATGTAAGAATATAATTATTGGGAAATCTGTTCTGTACTTGCTGTTTGTGGTGTTTTTAGCCTTTGTATAATGTGTAATACCAAGCTAAGCTTTGTATGTGGAAGAGAAGTAATTAAAACACAAATTGAAAATGTGACAAGGAATCTCAATGAAGGGAGAGGAAAGGCACCGATAAGTGCGTTAAGTAATATGCCACATCAGCTTCTTTCTTTTTGTTATGGGAATCATTAATCTCTTTACAATAATATCCTTTTCCTGAACTCATGGGTTCCTATGTTGGTTCTGAAAAAAAAACACCTGATATGGTTAGAAGGCTCCAAAAAAAACCTGACAAGGTTAGATAGGCCTCCGAAAAGAACCTCATGTGGTTAGATACACCCCTGAAAAGAACCTGATGTGGTTTAATAGAACCTAAAAAAAAAAACTGAAATGGTTAGATAAGCCCTTGAAAAGACAGAAGTTAAAGAATTGTAGTAATTGATACTTTGTAGTAGTTTTTGTAGTAAACTGTTGTAGCTAAATTCTACAGTTTTGAAGTGTGCTGAAAGAGTGCCATGCCTACCTGATACAGTACAGCACTACATATAGGGCTGATTTTAACTATGCAGTACTATGCTTTTTGTGAGACACAACAGGCTTCATCAGTTTCCATTCAATTGTCCGCGAGCATAAACTTTCTTTGCAAAGGAAGATTTTGTTTTTGGCCTTATTATCAAAATCATGGACTGGTTTCTTCTTATAACCTGCTATCTGATCTCATAATGCTGCAATTGTAAAGAAGTTTCTGGTGAACTGGTGTTTGAGGTTTGAACAACGGATCAACATGGCACACGGGTGTAACCCATAAGTGTTCCGTTCTTCTTCTAACTCAAGTCTGAGTCCGTAAAAGCTCAAAACAGTGCACAGGCTCTGTAGCACCGGCGAGGGTCCTTAAATACTTTGGGTAGATTTTTAACTCAAAATTTTGCCCGGGCAGTGCCGTTGGGCTACTCTTTTCAATTTCCAACTGCCAAGGGATTTTTTTTCTTTTACGTGCACAACAATGCACACAGGCATCGGATCTCACTACTCAGAGACCAGGGGGAATTACTAGAAGTCCAAATACATGTGAAAAAATACCAGCCTTTACCGGAGATTGAACCCTGAACCTCTAGCACTCGAGGGGGACACCATGCCTCGAGACCACGCAACCACCTGTTAGTGAACTGGTTGTGTTACTGTTCTCCACCACCCACCTTACTCCTCAGATCTATCTCCTGCCAACTACTTTCTCTTCTCCAGTTTAAAGTTTTCAATAAAAACAGCATTTCCAAACTGTGGAAGACATTCAGCAGGAATTGATAAGGGAGGTCAACGTTTCAAGCAGATGCTTTCCTTGAGGGCATTAACAAGTTGAAGGAACATGCAAGCAAGTGAATTGATAAAGTAGCAATATATTTGTCTCATAGCCTTGTACGTCTCATTACTTATGTGATAATTGGGAAAAGCTTCCTGCAGAAGTAAAATGAAGTCATTATGATTTCAACCCATCAGGACCACACAATGAGCGATTAACACCTGGTGACACTAAGAGCCACTATTTGGATGAGAAAACCCCAGGCAGAAGGTCCCAGAAACCCTGCTCAACTGTTATGTTATATTACATCCCCCAAACAGTAGGGGTAGGGCTTTAAAATAACAGAAATTGTGTTCCATATCAGGACCTAATGAAGTCATTAGACTCATCATACCAGTTATTGTTCTTGTGATATTTCAGGAAGATGCAGACACAGTTACCTCGTTTGGAGGAACCAAAACCAGTGTGTATGACAGTTTGAGACAGTCAGGGGCTGCAGTTGTTTTTGAAAACCTATCTTCTCAGCTGAAACTGCGAGAGGGGGAACTAGCACACATGCAGGTTAATAGTATAGTATTTATAGTTTTCAAGTTTTTCAATACCAGAGAACTCACTATGTGCTCATTGGTTTATATTTATGTGTTACATATTTCTGTGCTCTTTGTTTCCCATTAATTTGTTATTTTAACTTAATTGTCACTATAACTTCTGCTCCAGAGCTGTACTTTTCAATAAGATAAGACTAACAAAAATGTTGCTCTACAAGTACAAATATGTTGGGATAGACAGTGTTGAATTAAGAACTATTTGTGACTAAAAGAGTTAAAGCTTGTGATTTAGTCTTAGTCGAGGTTTCAACTTCACTGCAATCGGGTCACACCGTACTTGCTCCATTCCTGTGCCAGTGAAAATCAAATGGAATGTCCCTTACTGTCCCTTTTGAAAAACTAGTGAAAAAACAATTAGTCCCGGCACAATCCAGAATTATGTGCACTAAATGCATAAGGCAGTTGCTAGAGGAGCCAAAGCCAACAGTCACCACCAGAAACACAGTTTGTTATTGATGGAAGTAGTCGGTGATAATAAATTGTCTCTACATACATACAATTATTACATAAGGTATTTTACCAGCCCACATGTAAACTGGCTACAGGCCATATTGAATTCCAACTTAACCACAACAAATGAAAGGCATTTCACATGAAAATTATAGCTCACAGTGCTGCACCAAGCATTTAACTTTGTAGTTTAAATATCAAAATCATAGATATTCCGTCTATATGTAGAAACTGCATTGCAAAGCTCTGTTCAGAACCAAAATAACTTCTAAGCTAAACTAAGCTAAACAGTCCACCATGCCTAGTGCTCCATATTGGGCCAGAAGTCCCAATCTTGTGACTGTTTAGCATAAATGGTATAAAAGAATCACTGAGGCTGAGCTTTAGTAGAGACCTAAACGAATTCCAATGGATCAGATGATGAATTCAATAGAACACATATTGAGAAAACCTGATAACTGTATACTAGAATGTCCTTTCTCTACAACCCACAGGGTGTTGATTTGCTTCTACCTGATCCTAGGGGATTTATCCCTTTCGCTGCTATAGACGCATTTTCCAGTTTCCCCATACACTGCTGCGCATGTCTTTGAACCTTATTCAGTTTTTTTTACCCATAGTGCTATAGACATAAAAGCATGTTTTTTTCTACTTTCTTTACAGATTTATGTGGACTGTTTTCTCGGGGGGGTCAAAGGGATTACTTGTTGGCTATATTTAGATCTAATTGATCCATTTACAGACGATAAGCACCATGCTGCATGTGTTTAAGTCTGTTTAGATGCATTCTGCGTGATTATGTTGCTTTATTTACCATTGAAGTGGGGTCAGTAACCCATGTATTTTTTTCCCTGAAATATATTTATGGTTTTACATTAGTCTACATTTCATTTATACAAGATGGCAAGAAACTGGTTAAAGCTGATGAAGAATTAATAGAGTTTCTTTCAAGGAGTAACAGTAAGGATCACTTTGAAATGTGCAAGTTATGATTTGGGTTATCTCCACTGCATGCCGGTGGACATGTGTACTTCTGGCGTTAACAAAACCATCTGACCCAGTTATCACATCAGCATCGAGGGGATGTTAAATGGATCCCCAATGATCAACAAGAGGATATGGTCACGTACTGACATGATAATTAAAATTAATTACCTTCTACACTATACAACAGGCAATGCATATGTCAGTCTATCACATTTTACAATACCGGTCTTATCTTTGGTTGTTGTTATCGTAATGAATTTAAATAATGCAGACACAAACAATATATTGCCAGGCATATTTCGCTGTATCTCATCAGGTGCGTTACTGCAGAGTTACATCAACATAAAATGAAGCACAAAACTGAATAAATCCAACTGAAATGCTAATAGTTTCTTTCGACACATCATGTATGTTTTGGCCGCCAGAAGCTCACCATAGTTACGTGACTTACCAGGGTAACTTCAGATTTACCATTAATTCCGTCTGCTTACAAAGGAGGCGGTTGTTGATTTTAATTGTTTAAAAAAAAGTTACCCTGGTAAGTCAAATGACTACGATATGCTTCTGGCGGCCGAAAATGTAGCCACCATAATATTGACTACATCAACCACTGAGGCTAATGGTTAATAAAGGTATGGGACAGGCACTATTTTGCACAGTCATCCTCACAGTATGAGAATTGATTCTCTAATTTTTCACCTGTTTTAACTACACTACAGAGAGTTTCAGCACTTAGAAACTGATGATAAAACCGTTGTCCTCTTTATCTGCAGACAGAGATTTCCCAACTAGAACACACCAGAGAGTCCATGGCTCGGGAACTTGTCAATTTGACTAATCAGAATGAAGAGCTACTGGAAGTTAAGAAAGCCCATGAACTGTTGGAAATCGAGTTCAGTGTAAGTTTTCGTTTTAATTTTAAAAAATCCATTTGGAAGTATCATTTTTAATAATACAATCAGAAGTGAGGTATGGAGAAGCCGGAAGTCCAAATAATTTTTTTTTTTAAATAAATCCTCAAGAAGAAAAAAGGAAGTTCTAAATAACCCATAGAAAAGGAGTAGAGGCAGAGATGAATAAAATGAAGACATGGAGAGAACTACAAGTGATGGTAAAGTATAGGAATGCTTGGAGTTGGTTGAGGGCCTATCACCCATTGAGGATGTAAGGAAAACTTGAGAAGAAAATGGCCATCAAATATTTTTGTTCATTAAGATACTCCAGTTAATTAATTGCTTCAATCCTGCACTTGTTGGGGCATAGAGGGTGAATGGCAAATAACAAGAGACAAAAACTGCATTAGTGAAAGAGCTGACTGGGAGTAGACCATAAGATAGACTAAGAAGACAGTAGAAAGAGAATATATAGTCAACAACTGAAAATAGAAGACCATTCTTAGAGATGAATGAGGGTGGGTGATATCTGCACCAGGAAACTACACATGGCTGAAGGCTCCTATACAAAGAAAAATTTTGTCACCTTTCTTGAATACTTTAAAAGTAGCTCCAAACATTAGAAACAAATACGGAGCAGAGTGCAAAGCAGTATTTATGGGACACATGATCGATGCTCACAGTGTTGTTTGGGCAAATTTGAACTCCTCAGTCAACCCTCACAGCATTGCTCGGGCCTCAAAGAGTTAATCATATTGATCCTAAATACCTAGAACCAAGATCTATAGAAGAATTGCCATTTGGCAAGGCACATGAAGGTAATGAATTCCACATTTAAGGAAATAACAATAGTTGGAGAATTATTGTAACCACCCTTCAGTATGAAAATTGTTTTGACTGAATTGAATTTGTTCTTGTAGCCCATACCATGTGACATTTGGTGAAAATTGGTCTGTCCACAGATTTCTATCTGTTCTCGTCTGTCATTTTTCATATACCATGATGCCTCACTGTCCAGCATCTTGTTTGCTTATCTGCCTCTGCTCCCTTCCAATTTTCCTGTTGTCACATTGTACTCCAATCCCCCCCCCCCCTCCCTCCTCCTGTCCTGTGACCAAAGAATATAGAATGTCTGTCTCCTTTGATGCAGGTTGTCAGCTCTCTTTGTAAATCAATTTCTTTTAAGACTTCCTCATTATACCTTCTTCTTCTTCTTTTGTTCGCCTGAAATAAGTTGTCTATATCAGCAATTTTGTCTCTTGTATAAATTTCACTGTTGTTAATTCATTCAGTGGTCCATAGAGTTTATGTTCCACTTTTGTTCTTTCTGGCCAAAAGGTTTGCCTTAATTTGTCAAAATCGGTGCAGTCCTGGAGTACATGCTCTGCTGTCTGGGGCACCTTTCCACAGGTGCACATGGCTGATACGCCTATCTTGAATTTTGTGTACATGTGGTTACGTAATCGGTTGTGCCCTGTTCTGAGGCGGAGGATAATGACTTGTTCTGATCTGTCCAAAATAAAATAGTCGTCTTGTGCTGGGGCTGTTGGTTTCTTGATTGATTTAATGATTCTTTTCTTTTGGTGGTATGTGACTGGTACATCCGGCTGCACTTTTGTCGCACCTTCTCCTGCCAGTTGATCAACTTTCTCATTTCCAGGCACTCCACAATGTGATGGTATCCACTGCATTACAACTCTTTGCTGAAGGCTAAGTTGTATCAGCAGTGTTTGCAATTCTGGTAGTTTCCTAGACTGGAGTGCTTCAAGTACTGATTTTGCATCTGTTAGCATTACTACATACTGGGAGCCAAGATTGGTATTTAGCAGTTTCTCTGTTGATATACCTTTTATCAGTCAGTCCATAATGCTCTTATCATTCATCTGTAAAACCACACCTTCTCGGCTTCCACATAATTTGTCACTAACCCACTGACTGTCCTATGTTTCACTTCTCTACATTTGAATTGGTTTTATGTAGTTTTTAAGAACTTAAGAACTCTCTTTCTCAACCCATGGGTTCAAATCCACATAGTGCCGGATTTTTGTCAGACATGACCTTGGCTGTTAGGTTGACTCAGCCTTTAATGGATACCAGGTAAATTTATGGGAAGTAAAGGCAGTCGGTATGATGTTGGTCACATCACCCATCCAGGGCCGATTAGTCCATAAAAGTATGGATCTAGCCTCATATGCCCAGTGCGCCTTTAGCACGTAAAGTGACTTGATCTTTATTTTTATTTTTTTTTAAACTTTCTCACCTTATTTGACAAAGTTAGATGGCATAGAATATTATTCATAATGTAAAATGCTGCTTTTGCTTGAGCTATGTGTATTCAACTTCCTTAAATTAACACATTCACTTCTTGAGTTGACACATTTGAATTTGCAGGAACTGAATAACCGATACAGTGCTATATTACAAATGTATGGAGAAAAGGAGGAAGAGGTTCAAGAGCTGAAGCTGGATTTACAAGATGTCAAAGAAATGTACAAATCTCAGGTAAAAAATTTTGGTTGTCAGATAACGTTTTAACAGATTTGTTTTTCATTGTCCTGTGCCATTTTAACTCATTTTTAGATGATAAGTAGCATTTTTCATCGTCATGTAGCAGTTTAGGACATTTGTGTGTGTGTGGGTGAGGTGTCATTTAAACACATTTAGTTTTGCGTAGTTAAAGTAAGGTAAAGGACCGTTTCCAAGCCATTGTTGCATTGATTACTGCTTTTATATATCTTTGTATATTTCAACCAAGTTGTGTTTTTTATTTAAATGTAGATAATACTTTTTTTTTAAAATATATTAGTGACCTGTGTAAAGAATTTTCAATTTAAACAATTTGGGGGATTCCAATGGGTTCATGACCCAATGTTTTAGCATTCTTGGGACGAAAGGCTCAGAATCATACTGGAGGAAAAAGTGTACGGCGAGAGAGTGAGTGGCAGACAGTACCAGTGGGAGAACAACATCAGGAGATAAAGGAACAGCTATCTGAGAGAGTGTACAACAAAGTCAAGAGACAGAGTGTGTTTAAGATCCATTGCAGCCAACCTTCATTGTGAAGATGGCACCTGATTTATTGACTCAATGGGTAACATTATCATGCCGACTGCCTTTACTTCCCAGAATATTTCCTTGTCTCCATTTTAGACTGGGTTGACCTAATTGCCAAGATTAATTACGCTCATACCTGGGTTTTACGGGCCTCCCATTTTACGCATATTTGAAACTGGGAGATGAAACCTGGAGCAGCCGATTTAGTATTTTTCAGTTTAAAATTTGCGTCAAGTACGGAGTTGCAGTAATTTTTTTTATTAAGAATATAAGGAATAATAAAAAAAATTACTGCAACTCCATACTTGACGCAAGTTTTATTTATTATTCTTATTATTTTTAAGCCCCACCCTGGCTTTTGCAGGGGGTCCTAAATATAGCCGGGCCTTAAATGTGGATGAAAGGTGTTTCGGGGACCTCTCCACGGGTGATCCTCATCTGCATGGTGGCACTTTGTGTCACCGGGTGTTTATCGCTTGTGTGATGTCCTGGTGGGGTACAACTTACCTACCTACATCCACAACTTTGTCTGCTAATATGAGGTATGAGTGAATGAAAAAATCAGTGGTGGGGCATATTTGAACCCAAGATCTTTGGCCTAGCAGTACAGCATTAATGCTGTAGAGCTTCCATGGCTCTCTGTGCATGCTCCGCTGTGTAACTTAAATATTATTATTTATTATTCTTATTATTTTTAAGCCCCACCCTGGCTTTTGCAGGGGGTCCTAAATATAGCCGGGCCTTAAATGTGGATGAAAGGTGTTTCGGGGACCTCTCCACGGGTGATCCTCATCTGCATGGTGGCACTTTGTGTCACCGGGTGTTTATCGCTTGTGTGATGTCCTGGTGGGGTACAACTTACCTACCTACATCCACAACTTTGTCTGCTAATATGAGGTATGAGTGAATGAAAAAATCAGTGGTGGGGCATATTTGAACCCAAGATCTTTGGCCTAGCAGTACAGCATTAATGCTGTAGAGCTTCCATGGCTCTCTGTGCATGCTCCGCTGTGTAACTTAAATATTAGGTGCTTTCTTTTTAGGCGACCACAAAGGACGTCATGGGACAGTTGAATATTTTAGAGGATGGTAAGAACGGATTTTCCATGTTTTCTGTGGATTAGCGCGTTTCTTCCAAGGCCAAGGTTTTTGTGCCTTTACCTAACCCTAATGAAAACTAAACGCTTCATCTACCACCCCCTGAAATACTTGACTGTCCCATGACCTGTGGATTTTTCCTGTTTGTGGTTAGCTTATAAGAAAGTACCAAATATTACACTCTGACATCTTGGAGCTGCTAATGGCATGAAAGGGGTCCTTTACTTTACTTTATTACATGCAAATAAAAGAAAGATAAATTAAATTGCAAATTTTTTTATAGCTCTAATAAATTGCTGCTTTGTTTGTGTGTGCAGATTGATGCTCTGATGGCAAAGTAAACTGAATCAATCACTGTGACAAGATGCTGAACTTGTGAACATTTCCAGACGAAGTACCAGCTCTCTTCCTTATGTTATTAAATAATAAATGGAGAGGCCATGAAGTATTTGTGCCAGTTTGCACATGGTTTTATAAGAAGATAAACATACAATAGGATATAAGTATGTTGTGGAAATTTTTAGTGACACAAGGATGCCATAGTTGATCGTGTTTGTGTCGCATAGTTTTCTTTTTTGTTTGCAGTTTTTCAATAACGGAATATGGCGATTTTGTGAACAGACAATATTCTGATAGTGAATATCGTTTCCGAGGGACTTGTGGATAAATGATTATTACATTGAATTTTAAACCTCCCTCTGCTATGGTGATACAAGGATATAATTGTATATTTGTTATTTATATATTCAAATGTCATGCATACCAGAATGGATGCCTTTTGCTTTGGTGTTAATTAATCAAATTGTTTAAAAATATTTTGTGGTTCTGTGTATGGGATGTGTAGAGATAAGTAGACTAACCACTGAGTTCATAAGTCAGCAAGTCCTTAACAGAACATCACTTTCTTCATGGCATGCCTGAAAGTATCTCTGTCCCTAGCCAGCTCTCCAGCCCCATGTGCTTTTAATGCCAATGCTTCTTCAGTGTCCTGTATTCATCTTTGTGGTGGCCGACCCCTGCCTGTTCTCCTCGATGTTCAACTCATTTAGAATGTCTTATGTTATTTGCTCTTCTTGACCCATGATATTCTAAGAATTTTTATAACATTTCAATACAGAAGCTCCCGTCTTTTTCCTCAGTGACAAGAGTCCAGGACTCATAACCGTAAGTTGCCACAGGAAAAGTGCATGATCTCAAGATTTTAACTTTAACCAATTTACTAGCACTTTGCCATAGGTTCTTCATGCTGTTTAATCTCTGCATTGCTAATGCAAGTCTTCTTCTGACTTATAAGACAAAGTTGTGGATATAGGTAGGTAAGCTATGTCCCTCCTCTGCCATCTAGTTAGTCAATTTTAAGACAGGTATCAAGTTGTCTCATGTCACTCCTCTGCCATCGCCATCTAGTTAGTCAGTTCTAAGACAGGTGTTGAGACGTCTCATGTCATTTCCCTGCCATCACAGTCTAGTTAGTTCTAAGACAGGTGTCAAGCGGTCTCATGTCACTCCCTTGCCATAGCCGTCTAATTAGTCAGTTCCAAGACAGGTGTCAAGCTGTCTCATGTCACTTCCCTGCTATCGCTGCCTAATTAGTCAGTTCTAAGACAGGCATGAAGCTGTCTCATGTCACTCCCATATAACATCCCCTAAGTTTGTCTCTAACAGATAAGCTGCTGCAGCTACTCTGGGCGATGAACTGCTTTATGATAAGGCAATTAAGGCTCTCAGATCAAATAGGCAGTGGATCCCTGCACTGAAAGACTATTTCAGTGGGGAATGGAAAAAAAAAAGGGGGGGGGGGCTGTTTAGAGTTTCTGGAAGATATTCATGGCTGAGTGGGGGAACATAGTTAAATAGTTGTGTATCTTTTACAGACATTGCAGAACCAACCCCAGCATTTCTTGGCTATTGTGGGTTTTTTCTAGACACATTTTATGTTCAGTAGTTTTCTAACTGTCAGCTCTCAATACCACTGTGGAAACCAACGCAAGACAAACCATCCACAGCTGGGATTGAAACCGGCACTACAAAGCACGTTCGCAACGCCTAAGACACCGACGGGGTGTAACGTAGGCATATTTTCCATCAGGTTACATCTGGTACTATTAGCATGTTGACTCCTCATTGACTACTAAGGAAAGAGTCAAGAGCACAGGTGGGATTGTCCCAAGTGCAGAGATGTTAGTTCTTCATTCATTCTTTCATCATTCACCTTTTCTGTGGCAATAAATGAATGTATGCCTGGTTTGTTTTCCCCGAGAGAAATAAAACTGATTTCTGTTTTCTTTTGCCAAGAAGAACTAACATGCTAACTGTGATGTTTTGATTCATAATGTTGTGGCAATGAATGTGTTTTTATGTGGCTGGTATAATGCTGTTGTTTACATTATTGCTACTTGTCTGTTGACTACATTCTGACTGTGATATTGGCTTGCATTACAATTTATGTGTCAATGTGCCTCCATGTCCAAACAGTAGATCATGTCATTTGCAGAGCTGCAGAATGTCTGGTCCACTGGCCACATAAGGCCTGCAAAATTATTCAGTTTGGTCCTGCCAGGTAAACCGCAATAAAATAATTGACCAGATAAAGAAGGTTGATTTTTAAGTTGACAGTTAACTTTTTTGTGTGGCTTGCAAAAGATTTTATAGATATCTAAATGATATTTGAAAGGAAATATTTCTCCTTGTGATTTTCTTCATTGAGGAACAATTCTGATCTAGCCAGTCACATTGAAATAAACTAGTTTGCTACTTTGTGACTGAACAGATAGGCAATTTTCATATACACAGATAATTGAAACATTTCAAGGCTTTGTAACTAGTTTCTCCATACATGCATGTTCTTTGATGTTAATATTTTATAACCAATGACAATGAATCTGATTTCATGTGCTATCTGTGTTGATTTTTATATTTGATAATGGAATCTTTGCCATTGGTTTGAGTAAAAATATTGCTGAAAACAAGAATGCAACCGGTGTAATTAAAAGTAATGCTGAAAAACGGAATGTAACCAATGTAAGTAAAAGTATTGCTGAAAACAGGAATGTAACCAATGTAAGTAAAAGTATTGCTGAAAACAGGAATGCAACCAATGTAAGTAAAAGTATTGCTGAAAACAGGAATGCAACCAATGTAAGTAAAAGTGTTGCTGAAAACAGGAATGCAACCAATGTAAGTAAAAGTGTGGCTGAAAACAGGAATGCAACCAATGTAAGTAAAAGTATTGCTGAAAACAGGAATGCAACCAATGTAAGTAAAAGTATTGCTGAAAACAGGAATGCAACCATTGTAAGTAAAAATATTGCTGAAAACAGGAATGTAACCAATGTAAGTAAAAGTGTTGCTGAAAACAGGCATGCAACCAATGTAAGTAAAAGTGTGGCTGAAAACAAGCATGCAACCATTGTAAGTAAAAGTGTTGCTGAAAACAGGAATGCAACCAATGTAAGTAAAAGTGTTGCTGAAAATAGGAATGCAACCAATGTAAGTAAAAGTGTTGCTGAAAACAGGAATGCAACCATATTTTATGTGTAGTCGACAGTGTCTTTTATTTGCCTGTAATGTCAAAATGGACATGTCTGCTTTGGTAGGTAGACTGATGCTCATTGATGTGTTATAATACCTGCAACTCATTCTATACCAAAATTGGCAGAATGTTTTCAAAACATCGTTTTTCTTGTAAAGTTAAATAGTGTAGATTGGAAATTAGATTGTTAAATTGATTGCCTGGCATATTTTATGGAATTTTGTTATGAAATTCGCAGAGGCAGTAGTCAAACAGAAAACTGAAGGCCAACAACATAAGTAACAAAAATATTGTTACAAATAAATTCGTTTTTATGTATATGGCCAAACCAGGTTTATAATTCTAAATTTGGCCCACATGCCAGAAGGGGTTGCCCACCCCTGATCTGTGGGTATATCCTGTGAGCTACGTGGATTCTTAAATCAGTAATAATATCTAGGAAGTAAAAATGGCTGGCATGTTGATCACATCACCAGTCAAGTGCTGATTGGACTGAAAAAAACCAGCCTAGCACTGTATACCCAATGCACCAAAGGTGTGAAATCGGTGCTTTGCTTTTTTTTTTAAAATACTAAATTGAATTGGTATTTTGTACACAGGTGTAGACACAGGATTGGTTTGTGCTGAAGTTGTTACTCTTTCTAAACTGAGCTCCACAGATCCTTCTAGAGACAAACTGGTTACATCTTATGCTGTGACCTAGTAGATGTGAAATCCAACTGACGTGGTGTTTTCCTTGCAATTTTGTTTAACGGTCCAGGTAATTCTTCTTCTTCACCAACTGTTAACTCTGGCGGAAAGTTCTGGGTGTTTATCCACTTCTGGACTTTAGTCCTGTTCCAGAACCTGAGTGTTGCATGCACATCCGTTTTACATATCAAACTTATGTTTTTGGGTAGGCAGTCGGACTGTTCTTGTTTCCTGCCTAATGTGGCCCCGTAACTCACACGGGGATGGTAATTCTTATTTGTGCACGTAAACTTATTTAGCTTGTACATCATTCCATGTTTGAAAGATAAGTTCATGTTAAAGAAAAACTGAATGGATTATGTGAATAATATAGTATTAAAGTTGTTTTATTGTGGGTGTTATAAGGTAAAGGCAGTCACGAAGCAGATTTTGTTGCCTGTTCAGATCCAGACTTTGAGTCTTACTTTAAGTAACAAACATTTGGGTGTGAATTGTTGGGACTTTAGACATTCACTTGGTTCTTAGTTATGTGTTGGATTATCTCCACAGCACTCTGGATACATCCATATGTGCTCAGATCTCTGCTTCAACAAATTAATCAGTGTCGCGCAGTTAATAGTGCCAGTCCTATGATGGTTGACAAGACTTCTTGTGCTCCCGATGTGCCTCATGCTTGTGCTTGGCAGTGCCGATCTTTACTCCCAATTCTTGTATTCTTAGCAGTAATGTGAACATGTTGCTTCCAGTATCCTTAGAACATGCTATCTCTAGGGGCATTGGCAATATCTGCGTCCAGAGTTCATAGATTCTAGGTGCCAAATCTGGAATTATTTTATTTCAGGGTGAAAGGAAGTGTGTGTTATCTTTATTCTTTTTAAATTCAACCACATGATCATTCTTCTGTTAGAGCCTGTCTTGGTTGACTGAGTATTGTGTTACTTTTTCAGGATAGAAAATATTACTAAAATATACTATTTGTGCATAAATATGTGTGTGATATATGTACAATTGCTAGCCATGGTGCTGTGGACCACTTACATTGTCATTATTATTTGCTGAGTTGTTTCATACTTAACCATAAACTGGGTTTTCCATTTTGTGCACTGAAAGGGACAGATTTTTATAGTGTGGGAAATACAAATCATTAACTGACAATGTTCTTAGTGTTTTTGTTGCCTGTATTGTATTTGAAGATGAAGTTAAACAACTTGCTGAAACACAATATAACCATGCAGCAAGCAAACAAGCATGCACTATCCTGGAAACTGATCATTAGCTGTGCCTACTTCGCCTAACAGAATTAAGCAGAGAAAGACAAGAGACAGACTGTATTTGTTTATGGAAGTGTGGGAGCTGCCGTGGTGTAGTGGATTTGAAGGTCGTAGGGTCAAATGTGAACTAAACCGAACATATTTTTCCCAGGTAAAGTCCCAGGATCCTGGGAAATAAAGTTTGTTGGCGTGATGCTGACCACATCACCCACTGAGTGTCTGTCTGAAAATATAGGTCTAGCCCTGTATACCCAGTATGCCTAAAAAGGTGTGGGAAAAGGGTCTGTTGAAATGAGAGTATCCAGAGCATGTCTTGCTTCAAAATGCAGGTGTCTATGTTGTGGTTACTGTCCCTAATGTCAACATAATTGATTAAGAAAAACCATTTCACCAGTTTTGAGCAGCCATGTGTACTGTACATTCATGTGCTGCAAAGACAAGGACTCTCAAATGCATGGACGATTTTCCCTCCAGGATTGCAGCCTGAAAGATTTGACACCATGTGTCTCAAAGAGCCGCTGTTAGACGCAAATTCAATTTTTTTTAAAAAGTTTTCCCACCGCAGATCTGAAGTATTAACATCTTAAGAATGAAATCATCATCATCGATCATGTAGCAGGTCCTTTGCAGAACATTGCTCTCATCCCGGTCTGCCTGAAAGAAACTCGGTCTCTCGTCGGCTCTTCTGTCTCATGCACTTTTATACTCAGGTAGTCACTTATATCCTGTGCCTATCTTCGTGTTGGTCGGCCCCTGCCCCTCTTTCCTGGTACCATGCCTTCTGCTATAATTTTTTCCAATCCGTCGTGCCGTTTGATATGACCAAAATATGCCAGCTTGAGACAGGATGCTGTTTATTAGCCAATCTTCCTTGATGTTCAGATCTCTTAAGATGCTCTTCTTTTGTCCAAGATATTCTGAGAATCTTTCTTTAGCATTTCAACTCAAAAGCCCCTATTTTCTTTCTAAAGGACTGAGAGATAGTCCACGACTCACGTCCGCATGTTGCTACAGGGAAGATGCATGCTCTCGAAATTAAAATTTGTATCACCTTGCAGGTGCTTAACCATAGACTTTTAATGCTGTTCAATCTTTGCATTGCTATAGCCATCATCCTTTTAATTTCAGTCAAAGTCTCTATTGTTATTTATTATAGAGCCTAAACATTCAAAATGTGTAACATTTTCAATTTCTTCATCATTATTGTTATTTTTGGGTGGCAGCCAGTTTTATCTGAGGTCATTATTTTTGTTTTCTTTAAATTCAAGAACAAATTTTGATCTTCACTGTGCTTTTGAACAGACAATATTAATTTTTCTATTTCCTCTACGCTGTTCGAGAGGAAGACTGTGTCATCTGCATAGCGAAGTTCCAAAACAGGGTTGCCACCAGTTTTGAGCAGATCATAACAATGAAATCAGACAGCTAAAAATCACAGAAACCCCATTCATCCATATAGCAGTTATAATAAATTTACAGAAGAATCCTTAGAATTCTTTGGACAGCTAAGAAATGCAACCCAGATGTTTTGAAAGAGGCAGCTCAAAAACTGATCAGAGACAGTCATCATTATTTGGTCATGTTATGAGAAGAGGGAAACTGGAACATGTTGTGACCACTGGAAAGATTTGTGGAAACAAAAATAGAGGAAGACAGTGCAAGAAGATTCTTGACAGACTTTTGTCATGGTATGGATGGGTATCAGCATACAAACTGATGCATGCAGTTTTGGAGAGGCATAATCGCCCACACCAGTCAGCAAGGCTCCTGATGATATAACGGGGTACCATAAAACGGTAATAAAGTAACCCATAGCCTAGTGAAGATTGATTAAGGTGAATTTCCAGTAACTCTGTTCAGCCATGTAAGACAGTTATACTGGAACAACCCATGTTTACAATGCAACCCGCTGTCCAGTGTTGGTAGGTAGGCTCAGAACCATGAGGTACTGTCAGGGAGAACTAGACAGCATATTCACAAATTGAACAAAAATGTAAAAAAATCATGCATCCCTAAAGTTATTTTGTATATGTTTTAGATTGTGACTCTTATCACCAAACCTACTTAATAGTGGCTGGGCATGAATAATGAGTTGTTAAAGCTACAGGTTGAGTTGCAAGTCATTAATCATGCAACAAAAGAAGGACTCAAGTCCAAATTGCGTGATTCAAGTCCTGACCTACACTTCACCTAACAACCATATTGTTGAATAATTAGGAGTTTGCTGAAATCAATGTTTTGGGCTAAAAGGTGCAGATATCGCAGCCCAGCTTAAAACCATAAAACAATATGCCAATCACTTTTTGAGGATAAATGTAGAAGAAAAAGTTACTAAATTTGTAATTTTAGTTCCTGCATTCTTCTTCCGTCCTCTATAAGTCACAGTATCTTTTGCTACTGTGTATAGTCCATCCCATTTTTTTTCACACCATTCTAATTTCCTTCCCATGTGTTTTTGGTCTGTCTCTGGTCCCTCCTATAAATGGACATTTTAGCTATGTTATCAGCTTTTCTTTATGCGTGTCTTGTTCAACCCCAGCATCTTTGTCTCAACTCTGTATCCACCAGAACTTGTTTTATTCTTTCAAAGCTCCTCATTAATGATTCTGCCACACCATAAATTACCTTTGATTCCTCCCAAAATCTTTCTAGACATTACTGATCATTTTAAACAGAGTCGCAACTACGCATTCATAGATTTAACACAAATTCATGTACTTACAGATTTATTTTTGGAACTAAGACACACACAGAGACAACTAGTTACTGAATAAGCATCTACTAACAGCCAACAAAAACACTTTATAGGCAATTCACCTAGGAACATTTCTGCTGGTTGAAATGTGGTAATTAGCCACCATCTTTAAGTTTAAAAAAAAAACTAGCAGAAAGAAAGGATCAATCTATTGTATCTCCTCTTCATTTTGCTGAATTACTTTTTAAACAAATTCAAGCACAGCACACTTTGGTGAAAAACATTTATAATCTAAACTGGCTTTTTCTTTCAGCGGGTAACTCCCTGTCAAATAAACTTGCTGTAAAATGTCCATTTACTGATTGCCAATTAAGGCTAACACGCTATATGAGACTATGAAGACACAAAACAGCGTGTAAGACACACCTGCCACACTAAAGATGCAATGCAGATCTTTTCACATTTCTGCTGCTGTAATATTTAGTGGTGATCTTCGCCCTCTTTCCTGACATAGGGCTGATCCTCCTCGTGGTGTGGCCAGATGGTGGGACGTTGAGGGTCAAATCCAGTATCAGGGAAGTAGTACACGAAAGACTCACGAGTGTAGTCTTGATACTTGGGCAGCGTGTCTATCTTAGAGATCTGATTGGAATTGTATAAACAAATGTAATGTCATCAAGAGCAGATACATAGCAAAGTAATGCAATGTCATTACAAGGATTGAATAAACAAAAATAATGACATCAAGAGCAGACCAATTCACAAAATGATTCACAAAGTAGAGGCACTGTCACACAGGGATTGTATAAACAAAAATGACGACACCAAGAGCAGATTACATCACAAAGTAAGGCACTGTCATAAATGGATTGTATAAAAAAAATAACACCAAGAGCAAACCACGTCACAAAGTGAGGCACTGTCATAAATGGATTGTATAAACAAAAATAATTACATCAGGAGCTGACCACGTAAAATAGTAAAGCACTGTCATAAATTGGATTGTTTAAACAAAAAATAATGACATCAAGAGCAGATTATGTCATAAAGTAATGCACTATATCACTACAACACTGCAGGTCTTTTAACTTTTGTGAAAACAAGCTCCAAGCCACCTACATGCACACAGGCTTTCAATTTCCTGGCTTTATGGAGTAACAACTGTTTGCTGACATGTCTTTGTGCTAGCCACTAAGTCAATATCAGAGCATTAGCTGGCCAGATGGTTAAGAGTAGACTCTCACGTGGGACACCCATGCTTGAATTCTCAGTTAGGTCTGAATTTTTCTGCCTGGGGCAAAAATACCATCCGTCTTCTCCAGCGTTCGTTCCTAAAAGGGCAGCTGTGTTGTGGTTGACATCAAGGCTGTGATATCTGCGCCTCTCTGCTTAACACATCCGATCAAGGCGCCCCAGTACCCACAAGCACAGGACATGACTTGGCAGAAGTTGATGCTCCACTGGGAAACATGTAGCAGAAGAAAAAGTATGGTATCTTCTAGTATACCATTCTGCCTGAGGTGAATAAGAAAGGGTAATCTGTACAAAGGACAAGACTTGGCAGAGGCTGATGCTCCGCTAGAAAACATGTAGCAGAAAAAAGAGAATGGAGCTCCCAGTATACCATTTTGCCTGAGGTGAATAAGAAAAGGTGATCTGCACATCTGGCAAAGCACATGACCACTTGGCAAAAGAAAGTGGATGGAATCTCCCAACATACAATTTGGCCACTCAACAGTGGCTCTTCATACTTGTAATTTTATCCCTGTACGTAGTGAACTGACAATACTGAAGCAATATTATTACCCAAGCTGTAACAATGACTTACAAATGTTCTGTTGCCATCAATTTCCTTCTGGACAAAAGTCACAATCTGTTTGACCACTTTATCCTGAAAGCAAAGAAAGAAAATGTCAGATGCTGAGCGCAGTCATTCACATCTGGGGAGCCGTTGCAGGTCAGTGACAGGACACTTGCTAGCTTGAGTCTGGCCCACATTGAGGCAGATTTTTTTAAAAAACTATCTTGGCTCTCTGGCTGACTTAGCCTAAACTTGAAACCAGGGCATATTCCAGGAAATATAGGTGACTGCTATGATGCTGACCACATCAGCCACTGTGTGTCGATTGGTCAAAAAATATATAGGTCCATCACAATATGACTGATGCACTACTGGCGAAAAAAAAGGTTCTCTACCACTTTTAGCTGACAATGGATCTTTTGGTTTCACTGACTCTTGTCAAATCTTCTTTTTTCTTCTTCAGCATTCTGAGCCCTTGAGGTTAATTTCTGCAGACATCACCTGCCTCCACTCATCTCTCTGGCTGGCCCGACATTATTTCAATATGCCCCAGCCATTTCAGTCTATTAGCTCTCATGATGCCAGTGATGAATGGCGATTTAAACAGATTAAGAATTTCACTTGCTTCTCACTCTCCATTTTCAGCTGTGTGCATCTTTGATTCGATTTAAAGATTTGTTGAAACACTTTGTTTTCAAAACTGAGATATCTGCTTCGCGACAACATGAAGTTGGTTGTCAAACATTTTTTGCCCCAAACACACTGTGATTGGCTGTTTATTCAAACTTCATGACCTTTCCCAAGTGCTAGTCTAAGTTACAGGAGAGTCACGTTGTGTTCTCTTTGGCGCCATTACCAGCGATATCTCCTGTTCTATATTACACTATGTGACCGCTTTTAAGACCACATCTGGAACTGCCTCTAACCACAAACCTACAACCGATGTCCCACGGTTGTAGAATTGTCAACATTTTACAGCGGGCCCTGAAAAGCCGCCTTGCTGCAGAAAAGCAACGCTACTTTCCTTGTTGCTTCTCAATGCTCACACACACACAAAAAGTAAACCGATGCCCTACTTGAAGTCCGACAAAGCTCTAAATATATTCAGTCTCGTCAGCCACTTACAGCAACCAGTACAAGGCGCACAATATATATGGCTGAGAAGATCGAACACAATGTGACACTCCTGTAACTTAAACCAGCGAGTGTGAAAGGTCACAAAGCATGAATGAAGGGCGTGTCTAGGGAACCTGAAGTTTTATGAGGAGACACCATCTGGTACAATGCCATTAATAAACACAGCTCAGTTCAGGATGTTGTCATTTACTGTTTATGAGATCATGCATTTGAGATCATTTAATAAAAATCCAGCCTGACACAGCCCTAGGCTAGCATATAAGATGTAGACTAATACTTAAGCCTTTAAGATAAATAGTGATAATGTATGTGTGCAGAAATTTAGCTTTCCTTACTCCAAGAATGACAGACTTTACAGGAACAGCATAAAAAAGAAAAGGAGACAACACGGACAGTAAGATGAAGAAGAAATGGAGACATCACACAGACGTCACACATACAACTTTCAATCTATCCTAAGATGCCATGTTTTTGGTGAAGCGTCACAGCCCAATGTGAGTGAAACAATGAAGAAAAAAACAACAAGCATTACCTGTTCCTCTCTCTCTGCCTCCACCTTCTGCAAGAAGTGATCCTTGTCTACTGGATATGGAATACTCAGCGCTTCATACTGTAAAAGCAAGAACAGAAGGAAAAACGTAAACGTGATGTTTATAATACGTTATGATCTACCTCCATCTTCAGGTGGCTGTTGCTTCATGGGACTTAGCAGGTATGGAAATGCCCAAGGCTCAGTGATGTCTGTTGTGACAACATAACCACATTCATATTAGCACATCACACATCTTTCAGTTTGACAAACATTAACCCTTAAAAGAACAAAATCACACTGATGTACAAATGTACGGCACTAGACCTTCACACATGCCAGGTCACTGGCAGTATCAGTGAGGGTGACAAGCCCTCTCTCCCCAGTTGAGATTTTTCATTTCAATTCATAAAGAAAAAGTTAACCCTAGTGCAGTCTAGCTTCTACTATGATATAAAGATGTGTGCAAGTGGGACACGAGTGATACAGGTAAAGACGTAGATCCCTAGTAACGAAATGCCATGGACCATACTGCATGGGGGAAAAAATAGGGAAGGGGGGGGGGAGATCAGGAGAGAATGGGAATAAAGCAAAAAATGACTGCAGACAGGTGAGTGTATGAGAAGCATACTAAACACATGTGACGGCAACAACAGCTCTGAAATCCCCTGCTCGAACAATGGAAAACTTTTCATGCAAGTTGGTCTTGCTAGCTGCACTTGCCACTGTCTATGACTCCTACATCTCCCCATAGCATCATTGCATGAAAAAGTGCATTTATCAGAGCAAACATACAGACAGATATGCACCAATACTGGAGACAACAGTGAAGAAATGGAACCAGTTACACACACGCATGCATTATGTTTTTCTATCAGATGGTAGCAGATTGGCGGCTATCTTACGAATAACAGTCCCAAATTATCGAGGCTGAAAATATACCCTAACAGGGCCTTAGTCATATGTCAATTGCGGGCTTCCGCTACCATCGAGAGTATCTCCCACACCGCTATGCGCGGCGTGGATTGGGACTAAACTAGATGGCTGGGACTCACAAGCAAATAAAATGAAGCAAGCTGCAGGAGATGCTGTAGCTGCTGCTCGTGAGTCCCAGCCATCTAGTTTAGCCCCAATCCACGCCGGACGATACTTTCGGTGGTGACGGCAGTCGCCGGAAGTGAGCAATTTAAGTTGCCAGAATTCCGCAATTGACATGTGACTTCGGCCTCGATAATTTGGGACCGTTATTCGGAAGATAGCCAGATTGGGTACTTAGATAGCCACTTACTAGCCCAACTGAAGGTCTTAGGTCTGAGTCTAACCCAAGGCTGATTTGTACAATTAACATGGCCTCAGGTCAACTCAGCCTAAAACAAATACCAGGAAATGTGAATGAAAGGGCTATCCTCTGAATAACGGTCCCACATTATCGTAAGAAATTACCCTAACAGGGCCTCAGACATATGTAAAGTGCGGACCTCTTTCCGGCGACTACACCGCACACTGCAGGAAAAGTTTCCGCCCAGTTTTCCCCTGTGCCGCAAAGGCTAAACTAGATGGCTGGGACTCACGAGCAGCAGCTACCGCATCTCCTGCAGCTTCCTGCATTTTTTTGGCTTATGAGTCCCAGCCATCTAGTTTAGATTTCCAACAGCCAAGAGATTTTTAACGTGCGCAACAATACACCCAGGTGTCCGATCTCACTTCCCAGAGACCAGGAAAAATTACTAGAAGTCCACGTGAACAGAAAAAAATCCCAGTCTTCACTGGGGCCTGAAACCAGGACCTCTGAACACTCGAGGCGGACACCATACCGCGAGACCATGCAGCACCCTCAGAGACAGATAAAAAGGAACAAACAACATAGGGATGTTGAGAAAGCAGAAACAAATATATAGCAAATGATTTAAGAATTCAACACCAACACCAATTTCACTGACATTATAAAACTAAGTTAAGCAAGTTCATATTATTAAAGGAAACATTGTCCAGATTGATTTTAAAAGAAAAATTAATGAAGAATGCAGCACCAACAGCAATTTTACCAGCATTATAACATTCACCAAGTTAGAGAAGTTCCTAAAATAGAGGAAACATAGTCAAGACACAATAAAAAAAATAGGAAACTTACAGCCTTCTGGAAGCGGTCAGCCATTGAGGGATCCGGAAGCCTTGACTTGTAGCCAGAGAAATCTATTTTTGGCAAATTTTCTGGCAGCTGGTGAACCCTAAGTAATATAATAATATATGCCATTAGAATATAATCACCATCATCCCCTTTAGCACAGGAAGTTTTTTAGATGTCTAATGTCTAGCCAAAAACACGGAGCATTTTTTCAGTAAATTTGGTTATTACTTCATTTTTTTTAGACACATTTATGTTATTCTGACCCCTATGAAATAATATATTTATTTGAAGGATATAGATTGAAGTTTTAAAATTTTCACAATATCGTTAAAATAAATTGATGTATATGCAAATTATCTAATTTTTATATCCCAAAAAAAAAAAAAAAGAAAATTAGAATTTGAATGTTCAACTTCAATGCAAGAAACACATAACTAAAAACAAAAATATATTTTATTTGAAATCTTTTTATTCATTTTATTAATCTTTGGCCTTTTTACATTTGTTTTTCAAAACAATAGTGAGGAATTCAATAGTCAAAAAAAGTATATATATGAGACAGCAATAACATTATTAGGTGACATGTGTTTTGGACCAGTCAGCTCAAATAATGGATGTGCCGGAGTGCTAACATCTTCGGGTGGATATACCCTGAGCCATGGTTGGGTTGTGGTCTGATCAGCGTCCCCATCTGATTCCTCACTATCACTAACACTAGATCCTGCATCAGTATCAATAGAATTAGTGTCATCACTTGATTCAAATGTTTCATCCACATCAAGTTCAGGGGCAGAAACACACAAGTCAGACACACTTTTAGCGGCTCAGGTCAAAAAATTTTTCACTTTGACACCAAACACTAGAAAGTTGCCATGTGTAAAGACAATACAGCAGTGAATATAAAATAATCACTTTCAGTGTTTCAAAATAGGAGATTTCTTACGGTGTCGAGGCGAAACACGATCGGGCCGATGATCGGCCATTCCGTGTTTTTGGCCAGACTGCCGACGACTGATAATCGGCCCGTCCATGCTAAGAGGGCTAAAAATAACATTTTATTTCAAAATTAGGTTTGAAAAAAATGTGACTACGGATGCTAGTGTCAAAAGTGAAGGTTTATATACTGGGTTTTTACTGATGAAACCATCAATCAAATGCTGTCTCCACAGTGAAGATTGGCTGCAAGGGATCTCGGATGGTCTCCAACACGCTCTGTCTCTTGTCTCAGAGTACTGAGACTGCTGCCATCCATTTCTGGATGTTGTCCTCTCACTTATACCGTTGCTTATCTCTTGCCTTGGACCTCTCCCCCCAGTCTGGTTTTTGAAAATGTCTTATGATATGAATATGTCTTTTAACGTGGCTAAACTCAAATCAATGAAGCGTAGCCTGTAAGTTAATTATTATAATAATTATATAGCTATCCTCTGAATAACGGTCCAAATTATCGAGGCTAAGAAAATACCCTAACAGGCTCTCAGTCATGTGAATTGTGGACCTCTTTCCGGCGACTATACTGCCAAGTTAAAGTCACCGTCAAGAGTATACTCTGTGCCGCTACGCAATGAGCGGAAGGGGTTCTAAACTAGATGGCTGGGATTCACGAGCAGCAGCTACCGCACTTCTTCCATTTTTTTTGCTCATCCCAGCCTTCGGGAGGGGGGGAGCCGGAAAGAGGTCCGCAATTTACATATGACTGAAGCCCTGTTAGGGTATTTTCTTAACCTCGATAATTTTGGATCGTTATTCAGAGGATAGCGGCTGATAGCCTAATTTAGTCTACTAATGATATAGTTATAAACGAAGATTCGGCGCTCCTTTGAATCATTCCCCAAATGGCGGCATGCCACATTCTGGCCATAAAATATCCAAAAATATCCGAACGACGGTGTTCACGTATATCTAAAATACGGACTTTCTGCCAAGAAACAAATCGCAGCAAAACTAGGATTACTTGACAATCAATAACATTTGCACACGGTACTAGTAGCAGACGATAAATACCGACCGTTGACAACAATTTCGAGCGTTTCTGCAGACGATATTAGCGACCGTTGACCAATTTCGAGACATTACAGACAATGAAAGCTGATTAACAATACTGTGTTCTTCCGATTGAGGATTTAGCAGCGGTAGATGTCAGACTTGTTGACATGCGCCAAACGCGATTAAACTCATCGCCACTCACGAGTACAGTAATTGGAGGAGGTTGCAGGAGATGCGGTAGCTGCCGCTCGTGAGTCCCAGTCATCTAGTTTAGCCCCCATCCACGCACACTCGCAGAAGCAGGTCGGCAAGCAACGTATCGCCGAGATCCTGTCAGAGCATTTGTTTCGTTATCCAAAGCCGGCACATATATTTTTAATAGAGCTGACCCGCATACGGATATTTTATGGCCAGAAATTGGCCAAGTTAGCACTCTTTCGAACGCCATCATATCAAAGCCGCCATTTTGGGCAACGATTCAAAGGAGAGCCGAAGATTTTAACATTTCAATTAATTAATTATGTCACAGCCTGCCATCTCTACAGTAACTCTAAATTTTGTATCTACATGATATTTCACGTAAAGAGTACTAATTCATTATTTTATTGGCGTAAAAAATATTGTAATTTTCTTTTAATTTCAAGTGACCATTAGACCATATCATCAGTCAGTGCCATCACCATTGAGCTGACCGTGAAAATCAAAATGTATTTTGAAAACTCTTACTTGTTGAGAAAGGTGTCATGCTTGGTTTTTATATTTCTCAGAGTATCAATCTGAACTTTTGGAATAACAGCTGCAAATCTTGCCCAATCCACAGCAGAACTGGATACTCTTTTCACAGCTTTGCTCGCCATAGCTGACAGCCGCCCGCTTCTCAATGTCAAAGTGGATCGCCCAAGTCTTAACACAAATAATAAATATACACTCTTTTTTCAAATAGTTAACTTTATATTGTGCAAATAGATAAAGCAGCAGCCCACGCTGTGTATTTTACTAATTAAACAATTATTTTATATTAACAATTGTTGTGCAATAAACCACGACATTTCTGTGCTATAAACATTTTGCCAGCTGGGAAGTGACGCTAATTTTACTACACTTTGTGACAAGTTCAGACTTCAAATAGCCTATACTGATTCTCTGATTTAAAAAAAAAAAAAAGAAAAGCTTTATATAAAAAATAGTGTAAGGTCGTCGCTAAGAGAAAATACTACACAATAGTCAAGAATTATATTTTTCAAATAGGATTTGACATTACATTTGGCTCAGCCCACGGGAAACATTATTATAGTATAGAAAGATGTCGGGTACTACCCGTTTTTCTCAGGACAATGATTGATTAATTTTATTTCTTGCTGTCATAAAATGACTTCGGTTACTGTGCAAAATAATTAGTACGTAAACATTCACTTTACTTATTAAATAATTAGCTTGCTTTATTATGTGCAAATAAAAGGGCTCTTCTCTGGCCTTGTTGTATGTGAATGTGTACTGTGCTGTTTTGTAGTTTTTTGACATCATAAATTATAAATTTCTCAATTTTTAATTTTATGATTTTATGTGGGAAAAATATTAAAAATTTCATCAGATGAAACTGAGAATGACAGTTGGCTCTCCTCTGAACTTCTAACTGATATTATGGTCGCCAAGCAAATAGCCTAACAGGGCCTCAGTCGTGTGTAAAATGCATACTTTCTGCCAAGGAACAAATCAGTTTCAACACTGCTGACTATAGTACTAGTAGCAGACGATAAAAGCAACTGTTGACAATGTCGAGTCATGCACCAAAAGACCATTACAGACTATAATTGCCACATGGCGGGGAGACAACGAGTTCCGACGCAAATTAGCGTCGTCGTTGTCCTCACACTTTTCGGCATGCGCAAAATGTGTTTAAAGTCACCGCCGACAGTATCCCGCGCGATGCGGATGGGGATCTAAATTAGATGCCTTGGACTCCTGAGCAAATAAATTAGAGAAAGTTGCAGGAGATGCGGTAGCTGCTGCTCGTGAGTCCCAGCCATCTAGTTTAGTTGCTCGGCACGGGGGATACTGTCAGTGGTGCGGCATAGTCGCAGAAACACGTCCGTAATTAACCTATCGCTGAAACTTGTTTTTCTTATAAAACCAGTACAGCTGCATACACATTGAAAAGGTATTTCCAACGGTACCTCATTGGGGCCTGTATATAAATTCTAAGCTTAGTTATTCTTTTTGTCGGGAAAATGAATAAAGCAAGGAGAACAAATAAAAGTGAGTTAAAAATAAAACTTGTCGCCCATAAATAAGAAGACTTTTAGGAGTGTGTAAAACTGCTTAGTATTTTAAAAGGATATGTTTCTGTATATATTGAGATATTCCAAAGTAGTTGGTGATGCTAATCACTGCTGTTTGGTGCCAATATTTCTTTTCTTTTTTTAGCTTTCTACTTTCTTCAGCTATATAAACTGGCAGAAAGCTCTGGTTTTTCATCCACTTCTTAACTTTGATCTTTTTTCAGAGCTCAAGTTTTGAGTACACATCCGTATTACAGATTTAACTTATTTGAATGCAGACTGTTGGTTTCTTACCTCTCAGGCAGGTGTACTCTGACTTTGAATGAAACACCCCTAAGTCGCCTCTTATGGCATGCTTCTTAGCGGGCAGTTGGTCTATTCTCCCACCCCATTCCCCCATCCCAAATGAGGCTTCAGAACCCATATGAGAATCTTTTATATTGAGATGCATGATGATAAATTAAGTAGAATGTCAATGCACTAAATATTAAAAATTTCATCAGATGAAACTGAGAATGACAGTTGGCTCTCCTCTGAACTTCTAACTGATATTATGGTCGCCAAGCAAATAGCCTAACAGGGCCTCAGTCGTGTGTAAAATGCATACTTTCTGCCAAGGAACAAATCAGTTTCAACACTGCTGACTATAGTACTAGTAGCAGACGATAAAAGCAACTGTTGACAATGTCGAGTCATGCACCAAAAGACCATTACAGACTATAATTGCCACATGGCGGGGAGACGAGTTCCGACGCAAATTAGCGTCGTCGTTGTCCTCACACTTTTCGGCATGCGCAAAATGTGTTTAAAGTCACCGCCGACAGTATCCCGCGCGATGCGGATGGGGATCTAAATTAGATGCCTTGGACTCCTGAGCAAATAAATTAGAGAAAGTTGCAGGAGATGCGGTAGCTGCTGCTCGTGAGTCCCAGCCATCTAGTTTAGTTGCTCGGCACGGGGGATACTGTCAGTGGTGCGGCATAGTCGCAGAAACACGTCCGTAATTAACCTATCGCTGAAACTTGTTTTTCTTATAAAACCAGTACAGCTGCATACACATTGAAAAGGTATTTCCAACGGTACCTCATTGGGGCCTGTATATAAATTCTAAGCTTAGTTATTCTTTTTGTCGGGAAAATGAATAAAGCAAGGAGAACAAATAAAAGTGAGTTAAAAATAAAAACTTGTCGCCCATAAATAAGAAGACTTTTAGGAGTGTGTAAAACTGCTTAGTATTTTAAAAGGATATGTTTCTGTATATATTGAGATATTCCAAAGTAGTTGGTGATGCTAATCACTGCTGTTTGGTGCCAATATTTCTTTTCTTTTTTTAGCTTTCTACTTTCTTCAGCTATATAAACTGGCAGAAAGCTCTGGTTTTTCATCCACTTCTTAACTTTGATCTTTTTTCAGAGCTCAAGTTTTGAGTACACATCCGTATTACAGATTTAACTTATTTGAATGCAGACTGTTGGTTTCTTACCTCTCAGGCAGGTGTACTCTGACTTTGAATGAAACACCCCTAAGTCGCCTCTTATGGCATGCTTCTTAGCGGGCAGTTGGTCTATTCTCCCACCCCATTCCCCCATCCCAAATGAGGCTTCAGAACCCATATGAGAATCTTTTATATTGAGATGCATGATGATAAATTAAGTAGAATGTCAATGCACTTTAATGCATGAGGCCAAAAAAATAAACAGCAAACTGACTAAAATGGAGAGGACATACAGGCATGAATCGATCATTATGGTCCTGAGAAAAAAGTACAGCAAGAAGGGACATGTTACACTCAGAGGAAAGGCAAAACATACATATAATCAAACCACTACTGGTAATTGAAATTGGAATTCTTTGTTTGCTGGCTGTTGAAGATGTGAATAGAGTGCTTATGTGAATGTGCCATTTCCTGTGATATCGGTTCTTAGCTACCACTTATCGAGGAAGTTGCATGAAATGGCTTGAGATAAATAGTCTTGGCAAAAGTTTGTTGAGTTCATCGGGGGGGGGGGGGGGGGGGGGTGGGGGGGGGGGGGGGGGGGGGGGGGGGGGGGGGGGTCCAAAAGCCGGAAAAAGGACATATGGCCTGATTTTCTTCTATAGTGTTGGTGGCTGCCCTCCATAGATTTTTACAGAGTACAAACTCTAGCTCCATCAACAACCTTCTGGAATCTCTGAAATATATGCACTACAAACTAAATATATGCCAGAGCTGAAACAAAACAACTTTCACATGATGAGGCAGTCAGTTTGTAATAGAGACCTGCGATCGTACTCTAAATCTATTATATCATTGGCTGTCTGGTTCTTTCTGTCATGTTTTCTATGAATCAGTCTTATTGTATTTGTCAGTTTGTATGTGCTAGAAACAAAGAATCATACATTTCTTTACAGTGTCTAGTGCAGCTCATACATTTGACTATTATTGCCTTCTTCTGCATTTGCCAACTGTGGACTCCAGCCGAAAGTCCTGGCTATTCATCCATGACTGGACTTTGGTCTTGTTTCATGACTTGGGTGTTGCATGCATATGCATTTGACAGATCTGGCATATTTGTACACAACTATTGGTCCGTCTCTTCTCAGGCAGGTTGGCTCTAACCTTAAAGGAAAAGAACATATTTACAGTGACCAGGGCCCCTGTAGGAGACCTGCTTCTAGGATGACTATGGAGTGGTGTAGGTAGGTCTTGTAGGTCAGCAGATTGGTCTTGACCAGTTTAAGCCCTGGTCCTGAGGCACCATTTCAGCTGGTGGTTCACCTCTCCATCCCAAGTTCTTCTTCTTCGTCTTCATTCACCGGTTATAAATTGCGGCAAACAGTCTTGATTATTCACTCATTTGGACTTTGGCTTTGTGCCAGGACCTGAGTTTGGTATGTACATCCGTTTTACCGACTTATTTGTGTACAGGTGCTTGTTCCTTGCCGCTTGGGCAGATGCACTCCGACTTTGAAGAAAGCCCTCAATTAGTCAACTCCTACGACATGCATATTGGGGAGGCAATGGGTCTGTTTTTGTTTTCCCCCCACAGTGGGGCCCATGAACCCACATGGAGAATCCCAAGTAATTGATCAGTGTGTATTGGTCTGTTTTTTGTTACTGTGGTCATATTGTTTATGCTATTAATACAGTAGCATGTCTATCTCTACAGTGTATAGTACAGCTGAAGTATCTGACCACTATCTGTGCTAAAATTCCTGTGAGTGGATAAATGTGTCGGAACTAAGTATTAAAAGTACACACAGTTCATTGGGAAAGGTCACGAGAATTGCTACCATTTGATGTTTTTCAAAGAAATGGCGCTCAACAATAACCATGGTAACGGAACCATCAATAATGATTTCACAAATGGCAGAAAAAGTGAATGGGTCAGATTAAATGTTGGTGGAACTACTTTTCTCACTACGAGGACAACACTTAGCCGGGATCAGAAATCATTTCTGTACAGGCTGGTTCAAGAAGCTTCGGATCTCAATACAGATAAGGTATGAACTGTGTGTTTGTTCTGCAGTTAAAGTCATGTTAACATGATTATTCTCTTTGACTACAGATTTAAAGGTGAGCTACTGTAGCATAGTGGCTAGATGTTTGCCTGCTGGCTGAAAAGGTCAATTGGGTACCAGGTGGTGTCCTAGAAAGTAAAGGCAACTGGCATGATTTTGACCACATCACCTACTGAGTACCAGTTTTTCTATAAAAATAGGAATTTGGCCTCAATCATGGGTTCAGTGCACCACAGTGTAAAAATTGTTGTTCACTTTACTAACAGATATAAAGATAAATGTGTTTGTATGTGTGTTAGATAATCTAGACGTTTTCTTTAAGTAAATTTTGCTACTTAGATATGAGAGGAAATTTTAGCCGTAACTTCTTTCAGGAGAATATTAGAAGCAAGTTTACTTTTAAGGGGATCATCTTCATTGCACTAGTTATTGTCTTCTTCTTCACATTCACCAGCTGTGAACTTGTGGACAGTTTTGGTTGTTCATCCACTTCTGGACTGTAGTCCTGTTCCAGAACCTGAGTTGCGTGTGCATCCGTTTTACAGATTTGACTCATTTGTATGCAGACTGCTGGTTCTTTGCCTCTCCGGCAGATGCACTCCAACTTTAAAGGAAGCTCCCAATTAGTCGACTCTTACGACAAGCTTTTGGGTAGTCAGTGGCTCTATTCTTGCTTTCCCTATATCAAGGCCCTGGATCCACCACGAGGATGTTTCTGTCTGTATGGCTCAGTCTTTCTCTACAGAACAGCAGGCTGTCTGCCAGAGAGTCGCACAAAGCAGAAACTATGCAACTCCACAGGGCTCCATAGAAATTACACTTTTGACCGAACAACTGTCCATGGAATAATAAATCACCAATCTTCAGAGCATGTGGCCGCAGCTTAGCTAGGGAGACCCCCTTTTAGAAGGAGAAGAGCGATTTCTGGGTATTTTAATTTTAATAAAGCTTCTATGCTTCTAGTCCTGGATACATAAATGTCATTGTGAAGGCTAACCACGGCAATAAATGCCTGCAGAAGTGGGAGGTTGCACCCGAAAGCACAAATATCGCTGCCATGTTGGGATGAGTTTGGAAGGAAAACAAGAGTAGTCAAAATACAACATATTAAATAAATTGGCATATATTGATCGGCACTCATAGATGTAGAGATATGTGGACACACTAGACAGCATAAATATGGAAGGATTTAGTTATCCTACCAGGATTCAAACTTATCACCTCAAAATCCTTCCTCTTCTGCATTCACTTTGTGTTGTAGTTTACAGCTAGGCTGTGATTATCTGCACTTTTGAGCCCAACACATCCGATTTCAGCAAATCCCTAATTAGTTACTTTTTATAATGGGCCAAAAGGAGGGGGGGGGGTCTGGGTGGGGTACCAGGAACCCACACTGCTGAACATTAAATTGCCTAGTAAACCCCTTAACAGCCACTAAATGCTGAGAATGATTTGCAACATCCAGAAGGACATAATGTCTGAAATGGTTGGAAGTAAGGAGGCAAAAGGCTGGGCAGACATGACTACCAGCAACACAAGGCATCAACTATAAGAAGTAGCTAGTTCTAAAGTTAAACACATGAAGTCTTAACATTTCACATATTTTGTGTCTGGCAGACTGTTAACTCATGCTTATGCTTCTCCAGGACACAGATGGTGCATTTCTTATCGACAGGGATCCTACATATTTTGGCCCCGTGTTAAATTTTCTTAGGCATGGCAAGCTGGTGATGAATAAAGACTTAGCAGAGGAAGGTGGGTACAGTTTGTCATGAATTATATTATTGTAGTTAACTGCCTAAAGCAAGTACTAATATACTACAAACATTCAAATTCTGCTTGTAAAAGTCCTAAACATCCTATAGACACAAGCCCTGCTTGAAGCTCATCCTATTGACACAAGCCCTGCTTGAAGCTCATCCTATAGACACAAGCCCTGCTTGAAGCTCATCCTATTGACACAAGCACTGCTTGAAGCTCATCCTATAGACACAAGCCCTGTTTGAAGCTCATCCTATTGACACAAGCACTGCTTGAAGCTCATCCTATAGACACAAGCCCTGTTTGAAGCTCATCCCATTGACACAAGCACTGCTTGAAGCTCATCCTATTGACACAAGCACTGCTTGAAGCTCATCCTATTGACACAAGCACTGCTTGAAGCTCATCCTATAGACACAAGCCCTGTTTGAAGCTTATCCTATAGACACAAGCCCTGCTTGAAGCTCATCCTATAGACACAAGCCCTGCTTGAAGCTCATCCTATAGACACAAGCACTGCTTGAAGCTCATCCTGTACACAAGCCCTGTTTGAAGCTCATCCTGTAGACACAAGCCCTGCTTGAAGCTCATCCTGTAGACACAAGCCCTGCTTGAAGCTCATCCTGTAGACACAAGCCCTGTTTGAAGCTCATCCTGTAGACACAAGCCCTGCTTGAAGCTTATCCTATAGACACAAGCCCTGTTTGAAGCTTATTCTATAGACACAAGCCCTGTTTGAAGCTCATCCTATAGACACAAGCCCTGCTTGAAGCTTATCCTGTAGACACAAGCCCTGCTTGAAGCTTATCCTATAGACACAAGCCCTGCTTAAAGCTTATCCTGTAGACACAAGCCCTGCTTGAAGCTTATCCTATAGATACAAGCCTCATATAGAGCTCATCCTATAGACGCAAGCCCTGTTTGAGGCTCATCTATAGATACAAACTCTGTTTGAGGCTCATCTATAGATACAAACTCTGTTTGAGGCTCATCTATAGACACAAACCCTGGAGCTCATCTATAGACACAAACCCTGTTTGCAGCTCATCCTGTAGACACAAGCTCTGTTTGCAGCTCATCTGGTAGATACTAGCCCTGTTTTGGGTTTGTCCTGTAGATACAAGCTATCTCTAGGGCTCTTGCTACATGACACCAATGCATTAGACACTTAAGAACTTAAACTGTCAGTCGACCAACACATAATTTTCTGGTTCCTTTTTCACCTATGGTTTTTATGTCTAGTGCTAAAAAAGCTAATATAGAACAGGGTTCGTAGCCGACCTGGAACTTGAATTTAGCCTAGAAATTGCGGTCATAACCTTGAACCTTGCTTTTCACCTGGAAAAAGACATATTGTCTTGACCTTGAAAAAAATACTTATCTGCCTGGAATTTTGACCTGTGATTTTTGGCCATTTGGCTATTTTTGGCTACCTTGATTTTTAAATGTTTATGGTTGTTTCCAGTATGATGGCAGTTGATTATCGCCCATTTTCAGCTGAAATGGCTTGTTAAAGGCTAGGGGAGGGCGGGCTGTGTTGCAGTCAATGGATACATGCAGACATCAATGCATGTCATGGGGGCGGGAGTTGTGTCTGTTCGCCTTTGTTTCTAGCGAGTCTAATGACAGTATTAATAGTATAGAAAGCTACAGGAGGCCGTGGTTTCTAAAAACAAGGATTACATTGAGAGATGGTGGGGCTAAGCAAAGTGACATCAACCTAATTTCTCAGTTCTGTTTTTGGCCTCGTTTATCTTTACAGTGTGTTTGGCGATCAACATTGTAATTCCCCCATAGCTTCCCTCTTCTTTTCTCTCTCTCTCTCTCTCTCTCTCTCTCTCTCTCTCTCCCCCCCCCCTTCCCTCTTTCACTCTTCTACCTCTTGACCCCTCCTTCCCATTTCCTGCATTGTCTCTCTCCTTCTCTGATCATCTTCTCTCTTTCTCTATCTTTCCTTTTACTCTCTTCTTTCCTTCCCCCCCCCCCCCCCCCCTCCCCAATTTTTAAAACTAGATGTGCTGCTCCATAACTCTTTTCCCAGTAGCCGTGTCCAGTACACAAGAAGTTGTGTTATTTTTGATTGGGTAGCTTAGCATAAGCCTGGCAGATGTTTTCTTTTGATGTCGGTTTTGTCTTTTGATGTTTTGTATTTGTTAGCGGGCCTTAATCTCTGTCCGTCTCTACCTGCTCCCTCACTTTTTTGTCCTACCTGTCGCTTTCTTGCCTGTCTGTCACTGCCTTCCTCTCTCTTTCTCTTTGTATTTGCTGCTCTCTCTCTCTCTCTCTCTTTTTTTTCTTTTTCCATACCTTCAATTGGGGAAGAAGGTTATATTTTGCCCAGTGCAGAACATTTTGTGTCTACCACCTCCTTCCCCTCCCCCAGACACATTAGATATATGTGTAATTTTAGAAACACATTTGTCATCATTCCTCTCTTCCCCCCCTTCCAAAAAAAACTCTTTTTTCTCCCATAGTGATGACACGTGAGGCAGCCTGCACCCTCTTTCTGCTACCTTCTTCCCTCTGTATCTCATCTTATTTCTTTCTCCTTTCTTTCTCTTCTTAATCTTTACTCTCTCTCTCTCTCACTGTTCTCACCTCCTCTGTCTCTCCCCTTTCTATCTCAGCCTTCTACACCATATTCCACCACCTCCTCTCCCCTCTCCTTTCTATAATTAGAGAATCAAAAATATAATGAAGTCCATTGGTACCGTGACCTATTTTTTTGGTATCCTGCTCTTTTCCACAAGTCGTGGGTTAGGATCCCCGGGCTTTAAAAAAGTTTTTTTTTTAATTACCGAGGCTCCCAGGTCCACAAGCCTTGAGTGTATTTGTCTCCCTCTCTGTCTTTCGCTGTCCCTCCTCCACTCTCCCTCATCATGTCTTCATTTATTCCTCTCTTTGTCATCTTTTTTCCTCCTTCCCCCATCTCTTTCCCTTCTTTCCTCTATTTTCATCTTTCCATCTTCAAAATGTCTCTCCCAGTCTATCTCAGCATCTGTCTTCCTTCCTCTCTGTATGACTCTGTCTTCCCCCTCCCCCTTTCAGGTATCAGGTCCAGAACAGACAGGACTTCAATTTGCTCCTCTCTACCACCAAGTCTACCAAAAAAATATATAAAAACTGTGCTGGTATACCCATATATGTGTGCAGGATTGAAGTATCTTTTGTGCTCGGTACACCCTTGAACAAGACAAAAATACCTTGTTTCAGTATTACTCCGAGACAACTTTGAAAATAACTAAGGATACCTTGAAAACGCCTTGAAATTGATTGGTAAATTTAGCTATGAACCCTAATAGAAACATAATCACCTACATTTTCAAATCTTGGTGTATGTGATGGACAGTTTGTTCATTTCCTCTGAAACATTTATTCATATAGGTGTGTTAGAGGAAGCTGAGTTTTACAATATACCAGATCTAATCAAAGCTGTGAAGGAAAAAATTGTTGAGCGGGATGCAAAACAAAACTTGGTAGGTCATCAGTTTTTACACACTTCTTAGCATGTCGTTTTCAAGATTATAGAATGTTTTAGTTCATAATTTCAGTTCTTGCATTTAATTAAAATGTTCACTGTGGGGTTTGGGGTTTTGGGCCTTCCTTTGTGGTGAGGAAAATAGACCCACTGCTCTCCTCCTCTCCCCCCCCCCCCCCCCATGCATATCGTAAAAGGTGACTAATTAGTGATACTTCCTTTGAAGTCAAAGTGCATTTTACGGGAGAGAGAGAGCAAGAATGATAGTTAGAAGACAATTATTACAGATAAGTTGAGAGCAGAGCGTTTAAGTTTTCAAGTTAGCTGTGAGTCCTTTACAGGACATTGCAGAACCAACTACAGCATTTTTTTTTTTTTTTGCGATTTTGCTAGGGAGATTTACATTCAGTAATTTGCCACTGCTTCCTAAATAGTTGGCTGTCGAAACCAATGCAACACAGAGCATTTTAGAAACACGTTAAACACATACAGTGGAAATAATGGTCCTGAAATACCATGCTATAACTCTGGAAGACTTTATTTAATTGGAAATCTGCACTAGCTGCTGTGGATGGTGACGGTGCGCATATGGGAATGCCTGAGTGCTGTGATGTCAATTCTGAACTCATTTAAGATCATGAGCCATGTTAGCGTAGAGGCTAGACGCTCACCTGCCAGCCTGAGGGTATAGGGTTTAAATCTGTATTAGTGAAAAAAATTGACCTTTGTCCCTGGTTGACCCAGCCTAAAATAGATACCAAATAATGTCCTAGGAAGTAAAAACAGCCAGTGTTGTGTTGATTACATCAAGCACCTAGTAATCTTTCATCTGTAAATGTCTTTTTAAAATGTACTTATTCACAGTTTAAAAAAAAAATCCTATTTAAAAAAGGGGGGGGGGGGTAATTAATTTAATTTAAAAAAAAAACAAAGAATAAAAAGAGTACATTCGATTTGGCCTTAAAAATGTATTAGGTTACTCAGAATTCTGTCACTAAGGTTATGGGCAAATTATGAAGTCAGAATATCTTTAAAAAGCTGTTTTGTTTTATACTGTTTTTAGTAAAAATCTTCATATCCAAGCCTCCTGAACACTGCACACACAGAACCCAGTATCATTTACAAGGCTTCTCTGGGGCAGGTCATTGAGAATGTGGGTAAGCAGCATTTATAGGGTTGTGACACAAGTGGAAATGCTGGGTTTGTGGTGGGTGAGTGAATACATGGCAAGGTCTCAGTGAATGTTGCATTATACATTTGTGAGATTGGATTGACCTGTTGATGCTCTTCCTCAGACATTTATGAAAAATGTGTACCGGGTGATGCAGTGCTCTGGCCAGGAACTGACCCAGATGGTGTCAACAATTCCTGATGGCTGGAAGTTTGAGCAGGTGGGTTCTGATTTCTTCTGGCTATGGTATCTTGTACAGTTGTAACGTGTATACACAGAAGACTAGTAGTTCAATGGCTTATTACTGGCATTTCAACCTAAAAGATTGAAGAGTTCTCAGATGAATTGAGAATAATTTTTATAATTGACCTGGTTTTCCCTGTGTGTGTTCTGGGGTCCCATCGGAGAAAGGGGGGGGGGGTAGACTTACTGCTTCCCCCTCTCCCCTCCCAAGCATGTTGTAAAACTCGACTGATTAGAGGTGGGTTTTTTTTTTAGTGCAACTGTCTGAGAGATGAGAAACCAACAGTCTGCTGACAAATAAGTCAGATCTGTAAAACAGATGTGCATGCAAAACTCAAGGTCTGGAGCAAGATAACGAGCATGCAAAATTCAAGTTCTGGAACAAGATTAAAGTCTAGAAGTGGGTGAACAATTAGAACTTTCCGCCAAAGTTTACAGCCAGTGAATAGCTCACCCTCTGCTAGCCGCCCTCCCCCAATCCCTTGCGCAAATTTAAAAAAAATTGAAATAGACATTTATTCATGTATTAAATTCTGCACGTATTCAAATACAGTTGTGTTGTCTTCTTCTGGAACATTGTCATTACTCTCCAGATTCCACATTTTGGCCTCAATTTCTTCTGACTGTTTTCTGAAGAACTGTTGGCCTCAGTCTGTCCTGTCCAGCAATGAAACTAAACTTATCAAACAAGTGTGACATATTTTAAATTATTAACCGCATCCGTTCATTATCAAGTGTGCAGCCGCTGGTGTCTGTACTCAGACTCTAGCTGACGATCTTATCTAGGTTTTTTTTTTTTTTTTTTTAAGTAAGGCTTATATTAAAATATCAGGCAAAATTGTGCCATGGCTTATTTTTTAAGGTAGGTCTTATTTTCAAGGAAACACACTAGATGCTTTATGCAGGTCTTTAATCAATTAGCTAATGATGATGAATTTCTGCAGTATTGTAGTTTCTTTTCTGGCCCACACAAGTGAAGTGACTCTAATAAAGACAGCTTTGCATTGATTTTTACTATGGTATGGGCACGATGCCATTCACAAAGCAGTATAAAACTACGCAGCAGCCAATAAATGTTGGGATGTGGTTCATGATGTCCGTAAAAAGACATCCAGCCAACCAACTTGAAAAAAAACAACTTTTATATAATAAACATGGCTGCTTCTTTCACAGTAATTTTTTTTTATGGGGAGGATGAATGGGGTGCTTCTTTTTAAAATTATAAATATTTATAGGTAATTTACATGTGGGAGCTTTGGTAGCGCAGTGATTAGCATGCGTGCCTTAAAGCCAGAGGAAATATTCTGGGATGTAAAAGGTGGTTAGCATGGTGTTAACTACGTCACCCACCAAATGTGGGTTGTTCAGATTTTTAAATATATGTGGCTGGCACTGTGTACCCAGTCTGCCTTAAGACATGGAACAAATGATGTGTGCTTTAATGTTTAATTCACATGTGTTCGTTTTCCACAGCTGCTCAATATAGGCTCCCATTACAATTATGGGACTGAAGACCATGCAGAGTTTCTTTTTGTTGTATCCAAAGAGTGTCCAACTTTACTTAACGGCTCAAACGAACCATCTGACAGAGCAAAGGTAACATACACAAAACTAGTAGCTGAGTTTGATTTTCTGTACAGTTACTGAACTTTTAAATAATGAAAATAAACAAACTAGTTTACCTATTTAAGTAGCAATTTTGATTGCCAAATGGGCTCGAGGACAACTAATCAGAAAGATATTTTGGTCACGTTGTGAGAAGATGGAACATGTTGTGACCCCTGGAAAGAGACACAGGGGAAGATTCTTGATAGCTTTTTGTCGTGGCATGGAGGGGTGTCAACACACAAATTGATAGTGAATAAGTGGAGCGAGTGGCATGGTTCCCCCATGCCAGTGGCAGGGCATTTGATGATGATAAGAACATAATAGAGGAATTGACTGTGACATATAAACAACACATCAGGATAATAATAAAGGAAGTGAAACTACTGTTTAATGTCAGTTGTTGTTGGCATCTTTCCAGATGATAATATAATGCTACAGGAAAGCGTGGGATGAAGTTCTCTCTCTCTCTCTCCATCATAGGTTAAAGTATGGGCAAGACTGTAGAGACCATTTGTTGCTCATGCAGCTTGATCCCTCACTCTGCCTACATAGTTACCCAAAAGTAGTAATCATATCAATAGGTTTCTAGCAAAGCACGCTGCAGATGCTGGCAGATCAAAAGTGCAGTGCTGTTTTTACACGTCGGACCTAGACCAGCTGCCAGCCAAGGCTAAAAGCCTACTCTTTTGTGTCAAAACATGAAGTTTTTCTTTCTAGGATAAGATTAACTCTACCTAGAAGCCCAGTTAACGCATGATGCGCCAATTTTATGTCTTCTTTCTACCCCTTGGGCCTGTGATGCTACACCCACTGGGACTGAAAGAGTTAATATCTTCTAAACGCTGCCCAACATTTAATGTCAACAGAGAACAGGGACTGTTCTACTACTATAAGTAGTGTAACTACTGTTATAGGATAGCTCAATCATATCTGCCCAAGACCTGACTATTATGGTCCTTATTTCTGGACATTTAGACAGAAGAACAGTAACTTACATCATTTGGGGTCAGAGATAGGAGGGGGTATGCTCTGTTTATGAGTTTTAATATTCCATTTATAACAGCCCATTGTTTGTCCATCACAAGTGATGATGACTAACTCTTTCATCCACTAGTGCTGGAGTGACGATGCATCAGTGGCGATAAAAGGGTCCTTTTTTTTAAATAAAACTTCTGACCTTGTTTAGTGCTAGCTGTTCTTCTTAACATTTACCGGCTGTAAACTCCGGCAGAAAGTTTTGGTTTTTTTTTGTGTGTGTGTCCACTTCTGAACTTTAGTCTTGTACCAAAACTTGATTTTTGCATGCATGCCCATTTTACTGGCTTATTTGTGTGCAGACTGTTGGTTCTTCCCTCTCAGACAGATGCACTCTGACTTTGGAGGAAATAACTCTGATTAGCTGACTTTTATGACATGCTTGTTAGTTGACAGTGGGTCCATTCTTGTTTCTCTTTAGAAAGGGTCCTGGAACTTGCATGGGAAAATGTTCAGTGAATATTCTGCATTGAACCTTTCAGTTACTGATTTCAGAATTGGCATTAGTGAATGCTGTGTCTGCTGCAGCAAATGTCTTAAAGTGTAGAAGCCAATTGTTCCAGTAGCACACTTGTACACATGTCATATTTTTCTTCTCATATGTCATTTTGTGCTGGATCTAGACTTAATTCCAAATTCATGCAATCTCCCATAGTATTGTTTCGTCTAGTCTTTTCTTCTGTTGGCTTTTGTTCTTAAATGATTTTCAGAATGTCTGTATTGTCCAGTATGAGTGTTTCTGCTGTTGTTGCTTTTGTATCTGAAAGGTCTGCTCATTTGTTTCCTCACACTCCTATGCCTCTGGCAGCATACTGTTGACATGTTGGTGCTTAATGTTCACTTTCATGCCATATGGTTATCCATTTTTAACCTTCTGCAAAACTGACTTTCTGAGTCTTATAATGTTACTTAATAAGACTTATTTTCATTTTTGAATTGTTTTGTTGAAAGTATGTATCACTTTTTCAACAGGTCTTACAGCTCAAGGGGACAAGGATCTGACAGGATACACAAAGTGTTATTTACAGGATTTCACAGATTGAAAAGTTCTCAGATGAAATACTTATACTGTACACAAAGCATCACCTTCTTAAAATATTAACTGTGCTTTCCTTTCATCATTTAAAATTAGGATTTGTACGAAAACAGTTGAGTTAAAACTCATACCAGAGCTGATGTGATTAAATCAGCTCATTAACCATCACAGGCTGATGTTGGTGCATATTTCATAAAATGGAAGAAAAAAGGATGAAAATCTAAGCAGTTGATATTTCAAAATTTGTCGGGCATCACAAAGAAAATATATTTGAAATTGACATGAACATCTGATGTTTTACTTGTAGTAGAAAGAATTTAAATAAATAAATTCTACAAGAACATGTTTTGAAACCAGCAGTTTGGGTTAAATTGCAAGCACAGCAAATGCAAAAATATGCCCAGGCAAGCAGAAGATTTTTAAATAAAAAAGTACAAATCTAAATTTATGTTAGGAATTTCACATTTGCTTTTGTTTCTATTTTCCTTGAATGCATATTGACAAGAATATCTAAAAATTACAGAGGAATCATTCACTGCTGGCCTGATAACATCTGTTAAAGAACTTGTAATGCTGTTCTTGGTGTTATTTAACATTGCCCCAGTTGAATCAGTAACTTAGATCAGCCAGCAACCACTATGAATCTAGTCAAAATATATTCTTATATTTGAAATTATCACAACTGAGTTCCTAACTTAGATCTGACAAAAACTGTTCTAAACATAGTAAAAGCATATTCTATTTCCACTGTTAAATTGCTTCAAATAGTTGTCAATCTTTCAGAATATAGCGAAAATGTATGCTTATATTTGACTATCAATGCAGTTAAATTGCTTACTTAGTTATTTGGCAACCATTTATCTTCTTCCCCTTTGATTCTTCTGTCAAAAGTCTTATATCAGGTGGCCAATAGCCTTGACGAAGGCTATCATACAGACCAAATCTCTGCATGTGCCATACAGCTTTGTCTTGATAAAGATGGGAATAGGCCTGATGATTCTTATAACTAACATCATAACTTAAGTTTTCTTCTGTTGTGATTTTATTTTTGCCATAAATGAACAAACCTCCATCACCTTACCAAGGGCCTAGCATTCTAGCCTCTCAGCCAGCCGTTCCTCTCTGAAAGATGTCTAACCTACCTAAAACATAATATTTCTAGAATATACTGGGAAGAGGATGCAAACCCGGTGCTAAAGAAAGTTCCAGTCTAATGACAAATAGCAGGTTTCATGTTGGTCTGCATGTGCAAAATATCCTTTGGTAATTGGAAATTTTAAAGAATAAGCTCTATAGGCAGCTGCCTCTGTAGAATTTCAGAAAAATAATTAGCTTCTCTAATATAAGTCATAACCATGTGGGATGCATCTTTTTTTAATTCGAAGCCCCACCCTGGCTTCTGCCGGGTTCCCTGAATATAGCTGGGGTATAGATATGGCCTAATGGCTGAAAGGAGTTTCTGGGACTTCTCCATGGGTGAAACACATTCGCATGGTAGCATTTTGTGTCACCAGGTGTTTATCGCTTGTGTGATGTCCTGGTGGTGTACAACTACCTACCTACCTAGCCTCCCTAAAACAAATTATTTCTAGAGAATATTGAAAAGGGAATGCAAACCCAGTGCTAATTAACATTCCAGGCAGGTTTCCTGTAGATTTACACACGCACACAAATCTGTTGATTCTTGGAAATCATGAAGATGAGGTCATAGGGCAGCTTGCGATAAGTAATGTACCTAAAGCTTAATCAGCTTTAATAATTTATTTAAAAAGGGAAGGCAAACTTGGTGCTCTGGGCAAATGTTGTCTATGCCAGGCACATGAAAGACAGATATTACAGTTTAGCTGTAGAATGGGCACATTGCAGCTAGTTTTCAGCAAAACAGATATACCGTATTTCCCCAAATAAAAGACACACTTATTTTCAAAAATAATGCAGGGTCTAAAAACAGTGTGCAACTTATACAGTGGTAGTAGATATTTATGTAATCATATTATAATTTTTTTTTTTTTTGCTTCCATGTTTCCAGTTCCGAAATCAAGTTTAATCTTATACATGGTATCGTCTTATATTTGGGGAAATACGGTATTTTGAAGTCATTGCTTTTTTCCCAACTGTGTGATCAAAATTTGTTTTTACATGCTAGTTTTAGGCCAAACCTTTAGAGAATTGGCTGTTGTTTTAAACTGATAACGTGTGCATGTAAAAAAAAAAACATTTTTAATTGTATGTTCAAATGTGCAAGCAGACAGTGAAATACAAGAACAATATCTGCATAAGTGTTGATGCTCAGCTATAGACAGAAGTTTTTTGATTATTATTATTGAAATAATATTTGTGCAGAATTTATTCCCACTTTCTTCTTTGTCCTCACAAGAAATGTCTGCAGTACAGTTTTCTGTGCCATATTTCACTGGATGTTTATATCATATTTTGTTTCTTGTGAACGCTGTAGTAGGATAATTGTGTACAGTCATAACTGTTTGTAGGTCTTCTTGAATATTATTTGTCCACAATCTTCTTATATCTGCCTTGTGGTCAACGATCATTGAGCTTGTGAACACAGTTTTTGCCTCTCTGTCATTTGCCATTCTCTCTATATACCCCCAGCCATTTCAGTTTATTAACCCTCAAATTGCCAGTGTTCACTGGGGATTTCAAATAATGTTCTCTTAGCTCTCTCACAAGCTGTGCACAGACGTCTGTGAGCTTTAGGGCTGGTGTTCACATCTTTGTTGTGTTTTCTCTTGAACTCTTGAACAAAGTGGCTAACCATTCGGTTATCAAAGTCTTCACCTCCAAGATGAGTGTCACCAGCTGTGGCTTTCAACAGATAATGAATTTCATGGTTGCTTCTCCTTCGTTCCCTGCAGTGTTGATTTACCTGAGATCTATTCATCTTGCTCCCCGTGTGGAATGTAGGGCTGCTAACCTTTGCAGGATCTAATAGTATTCATTTACTGGAGATGCTTATCTTGTAGAGAGGCAAGCATCATTTCAGGGGTCCCGGATAGTTAGTGTCCTTTGGATATTTTCTCTAGGTTATTCTGGTGTGTTGGGGAATAGGCAGGAAGATAGACTGGTTCTGCCCCACTTATGGTGAATTAATGTATGAAGCTAGATGTGTGATGGTCCTTCGGGAGCGAGTGAGCTGTGTGGAGGCACAGATAGATCATTACGGTCTAAGGAGAATGACGCTGCGTAAAGTTACGAGGGGATCTGGCCAATGCTTTACACTCAAAGGAAAGGCGAGACAATCAGACTGTTACTGTTACCATCGGAATTGGAACTCTTCGCTTGCTGCTGAAGATGGGAACAGAGTGCTTATAAGAGAGTTCTGAGTGTCGTGATGTCGATTCTTAATTCAACATTCAACTCATCTTGCTCTCCTTGTGGAATATCGGGCTGCTAACCGTTTGATTTTGTCTGATGTTTTTCTTTCTTTGGTTGTGCTGTGTTCTCCATCCCCCATTTCTGTCTATTTCCTTCTTGATTAATATGCAAGACCATTTAATCCTCTTCACTTGTTCCCTGTCGTAATTAACTTTTTTTTAAAGTGCAATGTGAAAATGTTCATCTGTGTGTGTCCTCCTTGTCACTGACTGCATGTCATGATGTACATTGTTTCATTTCTCTGTTCCCTCCACAACCCACCCCCATACCCCAACACACCCCTTGTGTATATATTTATTACATTCTATATGTGATGTAATTTGTCTGTCAGGTACCTGCACATTGGATGTGATTTTCCTATGAAGATTTTTAAAATATCACAGTGTAGTGTATTCATTTATGGTCATCAGCATATTGTGGCTTAGAGGTTAATGAATGTATTTCACAATCCTGACGCTAAGGTTTGATTTCTGTGGCTGTTTTTTTAATTTGTTATTTTTTTTAAAGTCCATTCTCGTGAATTTTGGATGGTGATACCAGAGTCATGCCATAGAAGAGATGGGGCCTCACCACGTCAGATTTATTCCCAAAGACAGCAATGGGTACACTGTAGCCAGCCTTCATTAGGGAGATGAACATTTTTGTGTGTGTCCAGCAGCATATTAAAAAAAGGTCCCTTCTCCACACCTTTAGGCATATAGGGCTAGACCTATATTTTTATAGACCAGTCAACACATGATGGGTGATGTGGTCAGCATCACGCCGACCGCCTTTACTTCCCGGAACTGCACCCTGTACCCACTCAACCAGCAGCATATTACCGTATTATTATTGTTATCTTTTAGTTTATTGAAAAAATAAAGAGAAAAAAACTACTGTCAGTTATCGATAATTCTGAGGTAATTACCAGACATCATTTATTGAGTAAATCTTTCGGTTCAGTACTGAAGAAGTTATTTAAAACTTGTAGATGCTAGATCAAAAGGTTTTATTTTCATAATGTATCACCCCTTCACTGATGAAAGCATAGTTAACAGCTGTGTTCCTTTTTGATGCATGTCAAAATTGGGGGTGACCATCATTAAACTGTCATGGCATCACTGTGATGTCACATGCTTAACACTCTTGACAGCCTTACCAATAGTGACAGGTTACAAGACAGTGGCATGGTTGTCTGTCACAATTTCCAGGTTTTCATTTAAAGCCATCTCACAACATAGAGTAATTTAATGTACCAGCTAGAGCACGCACAGGTAGCCAAGCAAATCATATCAATCAATCAAGTGCCGTCTCCACAGTGAAAGTTGGCTGCAGGGAATCTCCAGCATCCTCTGTCTCTTCTCCTGGTTGTACACTCTCTCAGACTTCTGGCCGTCCATCTCCTGATCTCCTCCCACTTGTACCGTTGCCCACCTCTAGCTGTCTTGCCTTCGACCTGTCCCTCCATTATGGTTTAAAAGCTTATGTCCTTTATTGTGGCTGAAGTATTCTAATTGTCACTTTTTTATTTCAATAATTATATTTTCATTTGCAGCCTTTCAGAACCTCCATATTGGACTGTTTCTGTTTCCAT